GAGGCCACCGAGTTCTGCGAAGCCGTCTACTGCGCCGCCAGCACCTTCGGCCTCCAGCTGCAACTCACCAAGACCAAGGTGATGATTGACTTCAGTGGGCCTGGGAGCCGGCAAGCGCGGGCCAGTTTCTACTCCGAGGGAGTGCCGAGGATCGAGGTCCCCCTCGCAGGGAGTTACGTCGAGGTGGTTCGTCACCACAAGCTCCTCGGGACCTACGTGACCGACAATGCATCCCCTGGGGTGGATGTCGCAGTGAAGGTAGCCACTGCAGCGACATCCACGAGGCCTCTCCATCGCGAAGTCCACAGGCGATCAGAGCTGGCAATCAAAGACAAGGCCTATTTAGCCGACAGCGTGGTGCTATCCCAGCTATTATACAATGCGTCTACCTGGCCCGAACTCACCGCAGGCCAGGCCAGGAATTTCAACAACCAGTACATCGTCAACTACGCTGCGGCGCAGAGGATCACTTGGAAAGTACGACAGAAAAAGGAAGTAACGAACACCCAGATCCTCGAAGGAGTCGACAAGCTGCCCCCAGAGATAGTCCTGCGACTTGAGAGGTTACGGCTATTTGGCAGATGCCTCAACTGGGGACCCCTGCACCTCCGCCGGCTACTTAGCCAAGCATGGGACGGTAGCTACGGCTGGGTGGCACTGCTCCGCCGAGACCTGGATTGGGTCCGCGACCACACAGGACCTGACGAGCGTGGTGGAGCATACACGCTCGAGGACTGGAAGGACTGGGCCAGGAACGACTACCAAAGCTACCTCAGCGCAGTAAAGAAAGCTTGCCAACGTGGCAAAGCTCGCCAGTACGACCACGACCACCATGCTCGATGGAGGCTTCGACTCCAACGGTGGACCAACACGGAAGCCATCTCGTCCTTCCCAGACCAGCATTTCGAGCATCAGCGCAAGTACTTATGCTACCACTGTGGACGTACTGAAGCCAGCGCAGCAGTGCTACGAGCACACATCACCAAGGACCACACCTCGTCGGGTCATCCTATTTCGTGGGCAACTGGTTCGGTCTGCTACGGATGCGGCATGGATTATCATACTACAAACAGGCTGGTCAAACACTTGCTGAGAGTGCGCAAGTGCGCTCGACATTGGAGAAAGACGCGCCCAGCAATCCTAAGTAGAGCCGAGCTGCAGCACAACCAGCAAATTGTCCGCGACCAGCAGCAGGCGAACCGAAGGGCGGGCAGGCCTATCGACTGGGCAGAGAAGCCTGCAGTCCCTGCTCGCCCTCCAGAAATACATACGGACGAGGACAGCGACGACAGCAACGGCGGCCACTACGAGAGCCTTGAGCTGCCCTTCATTGAGGAGCAGCCACCGCCGCCAGCCGCTGTACCGAGGCCCGGACCAGCTCGGACGTTATATGTGCTGCATCTATTCAGCGGCCGTCGCCGAGACGGAGATGTTCAGGACTGGTTTGACCGCCTCAGCAGTCGGGCTGCTTGCGACATACACATGCTCAGCCTGGACATCGCCAACGACCCGACCTTCGGCGACCTGACATCTGAGGTCGCAGTCAGCAAGTGGCGAGACATGGCACAAGCAGGAAGAATTGCAGGAGTCATCGGCGGACCGCCGTGCGAGACCTGGAGCCGAGCGCGCCACTTGCCCCCCAATGGCTGCAGGGGTCGGCCACCAAGACCCCTAAGGGGCGGCAATAGCCTGTGGGGCTTTCGCTACCTTTCCCGCCCAGAGATGGAGCAAGTAGCGACAGGCAACCGCCTATACAGGACACAGCTGGAACTTATGTACATGTGCCTCAATTTGGGAGTCCCAGGCATGCTCGAGCACCCGTCTGAGCCCATCGAGGAGCACTTCGCCAGCTCCTGGAAGCTTCCCGAGATGCGCCATCTCCTGAACCAGCAGGGAGTCGAGCTGATCACCTTCGACCAGTGCACCTGTGGAGCGCGCTCGAGGAAATCCACAAGCCTGATGGCGGTATCCCTACCAACCCTCCGAGCAGAAATCAGGAGACTGCCTGGAAGTGGAAGGTGCTTTCACACGGCCTCCTACCATGCGGAGCTGGCAGGCATCAACGATGAAGGCCAGTGGCGCACCGCGCCGGCCAAGGAGTACCCGAACAGGATGTGCCAGGCCATCGCGACCGCACTGGTGAAGCAGATCAGGTGGCGCTTTGGCGAGTCGCCCAACGACGTCCAGGGGTGGCACATCGACGACGACGTGGCCCACTTCTTCCAGCCGCTCGACCACTACAAGACCAGGGAGATGGGTCAGGACTACTATCGAGGCAGCAGGCGGAACGGCTCACCGACCTGGCTGGAAGAGGCAAGGGAGTGGGCCCGGCAGGACCGACCCGACAAGGCAATCGGCAGGGCCACCACCTCGACAGGAGCTGTTCGGGCACAGGCTGACAACGAGGATCGTGACGAAGCGCCTTGACGACATGTACAAAAGAATCAGAACGCAAGTCCTGAGGAAGCCCCGAATGCGTGGGAACACCTCAGGCTACGTCGCCAAGTTTTGCACAAGTTGTCAGGACGCAAGACCTGGGGAAGCCCCGAATGCGAGGGAACACCCCAGGCTCACGTCGCCACGTTTTGCATAGTGACGGACACGGCCGCCGTACAGCCAGGGCTCAGAAGTACCAGCCCGATGACCCCAACTGCACCAAGTACCAGTCAACGTTGCCCTGGTGAGGCAAGGATCAAACTTCGAGACGGGCTCGAAGGGCGGGGGGGCAGGACGAGGACTGCCCGCGCCCACCAGGGGGGATGGTGAGGGGCAGGGGGGGGGCAGGACGAGTACTGCCCGCGCCCCCGCGGTCCGCCCTAGCTCGCCACCCCCACCATTCCCATGGCGGAGACGGAGCTCCCGAGCGCCCAAGGGCGTAGCATAGGGCAGCGTTGACCTTCCTCATCGACAGCAGAAGAATCACCTGGCCTGGGGTTCGCCCCCACCGAGGGCACCGTGACCCCTAGCCATAGCGGGACGAGGCAGGGCCGCCATGAACCCTGCTTGAAGTCGGTGCATGGAGGCCAGAGTGCGCCCGCAATCTATTCCACCTACCAGCAACAAGCCGACCCCCATCGACCTTAACCAGCACGACAACTACTTCATCGGCTGAGACCCGTACCAGGAGAAGAGCCCAACGCAGTCAACCAGTTCATGACCAAGGTGACTGTGACAAGACGAAGAGCCCACCAGCAACGAGGCAGGCTCACTGGCACATCGAGGAGGCCGACCGCGACGCGGAGCGCCTCGCGCTGGGCCAGAAGGAGAAAATGCGGAAGCCGACGGCATCGCGGAGCTCCTCGCGCTGGGGGCCATCGCGGAGGCCGACGGCACCATGGAGCTCCTCGCGCTGGGGGCCAGGCGATGGAGGCCGACGGCAACGCGGAGCTCCGCGCGCTGGGCCAGCTGGCGCACAGCTGGGAGGCCAAGCGCTGAAGCTCCCGCAGACCGGCGGCAACACAGGGCTCCTGGCGCTGGACCAGCAGGTGCACCCGGCGACGCACGGCGACGCGGAGCACCTCGCGCTGGGCCAGAGGGAGCGCATCATGGAGGCCGGCGGCAACGCGGAGCTCCGCGCGCTTGGCCAGCTGGCGTACAGCTGGGAGGCCAGGAGCGGAGCCCCGCAGACTTGCGGCAAGCAGAGCTCCAGGCGCTGGACCGGCAGGTGCACACCGCGGACGCACGCGCGACGCGGAGCACCTCGCGCTGGACCAGAGGGAGCGCATCACGGAGGCCAGGGGCGGGCGGGGTCGCCGCCCTCGACGCGACCTGAGGGCCCCGCCGCCCCCGACCACGCGGACGAGCTTAGCTAGGTCCCACCGAGGTGGGTGGGCCCTCGCCGAGCCAAAGGCCAGGGCCCCGCGGGCCCTCGCCCCCTCGGGCCCTTCGCCGACCGGTGTTGGGCCCAACGGGCCCGTCTTTTTCCCTTCCCCTTTCCTCCAGGCCTTCGCTGTCCAGGATTGAAACGGGCCTCCCTCTCCCCCCCTCTGTCGGCGGCCGACGGCCGCCGCGCTGCGCTTCAGGGCTGTGACCCTTACGGCGCGTCAAATAGCGGAAATAGCGGAGGAGGAGGAGGAGGAAGGAGGAGGAGGAGGAGGAGGAGGAGGGAGGAGGAGGAGGAGGAGGAGGAGGGAGGAGGGAGGAGGAGGAGGAGGAGGAGGAGGAGGAGGAGGAGGAGAGGCACGGGACATGTACAGATCTCGTTTCCCGGCTCCTGGCCGCCCCCGAATCGTCGGTCATGCACGAGCGGGCAGCGCACCCGGGGACCTGCAGCCCGGGGCGCAGGGGCCAATTTGGCAGGGGCAGGCGGGGGTCGGCAGTGGGGCAGGAGGACGAGGAGGAGCAGGAGAGACACGAGGACGAGACGGATGACGAGGAGGAGCATGGGAGCATGAAAAAGAGCAGGAGGAGGAGGAGGAGCATGAAGAGGACGAGGAGGAGAAGGACGACGACGACAAGGAGGAGGAGGAGGGGGAAAAGAAGGACGATGAGGATAATGAGGACAAGGAAGAAGATGAGGAGGTCGAGGTGGATGAGGGACAGACGCTACAATCTTCGGGATTTCAGTCCGCTCAACGTCAACAGGAGGAAGAGGGAGGAAGACGAGGAGAAGCAGGAGGACGAGGAGTACGAGGGGGTCGGGACGGCCAGGGGGGAGGACGACGATGAGGAGCAGGAGTAGGAGGAGGAAGGGTACAGCCGATTCAGGCAGCGACGAGTTGCGCGATGGTTTCCGGCACAGCGTGAATCGCTCAACCTTGAACGTTCGCGGCGGCTTTCCCACAACGCCTATTTCTCTATGTCCACCGATTTCGGGACACCGGCATCGTCCAACCTTGAGCGCCCGCACTGGGGTCGCCGCCGGTGTCGACGCAACAAGAACCCTCCGCTGGAGCAGGATGGAGAGGCAGAGAGGCAGGGAAGCGGAGGCGGGATGCCCGGACTCCTGCAGGTGGCAGAAGCCAAGAGCGGACCGACCGCCGAGAGGCCCGTGACGCCGCTCAGTCGAGGGCGCCCGGCGGCACGTGCTGTCGGACGCGGTTCAGCTCGGCGACGAGCACCTCCATCTGCGCATCGATGTGCTTCAGCTGTTCGAGCATCTTCCCCACGTTCTCCAGCACGGACTCCTTCCCAGGCATGCGACGCATTGAACAGGCAGGGCGGCGGAGTTGTTATGAGTGTCCGGCCTCTGGGGGCCAATTACGGGCTGCGGGGCCGTCAAGCATGCCTGTAGGACGAAGCGCTGGCCTGGCCAGCCGCGGGAAAAAAGAAAGGCCATGCCAAGAGGGGTCACCACGAGGGAGGTAACCACCTCCTCGAGGCAACGGCTCTCAGAACCCCCCTCAGGACTTCCAAAGATGCCTGGAAACGTCCACCACACTCTCGATCCTCAGTCCTTCCTCGTCCCCGAATCTCGATTTCTAAAAAGAACCCGCCCAATGGTGACCCCCCGGTGTACTTGCCTGGGAAACGGTCGGAACATCTGGGGCAGGGGGACCCCGCATCGAAAAACAGCGGACTCGACGTGGAGATCCCCACATGTGCATCTCACTTCCTGGCACATCCCGCTGTTTCTGAGCGAGCAACTCTTAGCCTCCGGCGACCGGGCACACTCCCTGGCGGCTCTCCTTCGGGGTGCCCGGGTGATATGTCTGCTACGTCGCGGTGATCATGGGGCTCTGTAAGGAGAGGGGTCGGTGGTGCCCAAACCAGCGCTTCGCGTGAGACGTCCCTACTGCCTGGCAAGTGCAACACGACCTGGCGGCTCCCCAAGGTGCTGGTCCGAGCGTGGTGAGTCCGAGTGCGTGAGTCTGAAAATAAGTGAATCAGATTGCGAGTGAGGCTGAGCGTGGTTGACTCTTAGTGTAGGCGAATTTGAGCATGAGAAAGTCTAAGTATCAATGGATCTGAGTGCGTGGTCTGAGTACGAATAATGCGAATGTGAATGAGTCTGAGTGCGAGTGAGTCTGAATATGAACGGTCCGTGTGTGAGTGGTCTGTGTGCATGAGCCTGAGTCTGGCTCAGCTGAGCCTGCGTGGCTCTGAATGGAAGTATGAATATGGAAAAGAGCAGGCGGGACAGATACGGACAGGTGGGAAGATGTGGACACCAAACGAGCGAGCCGCTCGAGACGTCGCCAACATCTGGCCACGACCAGGCAAGTTTCTCCCTCCCTTCCTAGAGATCCCTGAGATCCCTGATGTCCCTGCGACTAGGGGGGGGGATTTCCCTGAGATCCCCGGGCGGCCCGTTTTTCTTCGAGCCGGGCGTGTTCGTCCTGCTTTTCGGGCCCCGGGAAGCCACACAGAAGAGCCCTAGGGGCTCCAAGCATCGGGAGCGTCCAAGATCGAAGGAGAAAAAACGCTGTAAACATGAACTTTGGCGCTCCGCACGGATTTCTTGGATCTGCGCCGGACCCCCTCCCTGGCGCGCTCCGCGCGCCAGGGGCGGCGCTGGAGGCGCCGCTAGGGGGGCCCCAGCGCGGATTCAAGAAATCCGCGCGCGGAGCGCCAACAGCTTATGTTTGTGGCGTTGTTTCTTCTTCGATGGATATGAGTCCGTCAGTCCGAGTGAGTCTGAGCTCGAGCGGATCAGTTTGAGTGGGTCGGGGCTCTGCAGCATCGGAGAAGCGGCGGAGGCGCCACACCAACAGCAAGAGCCCCACACTTTCAGAGGCCCTGGACGGGCGCGGCCTGGCCATATTGGGCGGCGCGTGTCAGCCCGCCCTCGTGGCCTGGCCACACACACCGATCCTGCACCGGAGATGGGCCCCAGCCGGTCGGCACACATGGCGAACGGTTCCTTTTTCGGCGTGTCGACATTGGGCGGAAGGGGGGGAGGGAGGGGGGTGTGTCTGGCTCGGGACCTCTTCTTAGTGCGACTGTTTGCAGCAGGGCGTCCATTATGGGGGAGGCTCCACCTGCTCGAAACAGGCGCCCAAAACAGCCAAGATCTACTCCTTGGGGGGGGGAAGGGGGGGGGCGAGGGCCCGCGCCGATCGGCAAAACAATGAGCAACAAAACGACTGCCATGTGCACGGTCAGAAACGTTTGCATCGTGTGCCCAAAGATCCGAAGTCGTGACTGTATCAATACGGGGTCCCCGGAAGCTTCGACTCGACCCCATTCCCCAGGACGTTCTTCATCCTGAATCGCTGTTTGACGGTCACGGGGCCCTGCGAGGGTCTCTGCAGAGGCCGCAAATTGCGAACAAGAGCTCCGTCCTGTTTTTTTTCAATGCGCTAGATCTCTGGGCATGGTGAGCGTTTTCTTATTCGGCGTGTCGACATTGGGCGGAAAGGGGGGGAGGGGGGGGGTCTGGCTCTGGTTCTCTGCTGGGTGCGGCTGTTTGCAGAAGTGCGCCCAATGGGGGAGAAGCTTCGCCTGCTCGAGACAGGCACCAAAAACAACCAAGATCTACTCCATGGGGGGGGGGAGGAGGGGGTGCGAGGGCCCGCGCCAATCGGCAAAACAATGAGCAAGACAACGACTGCCATGTGCACGGTCAGAAACGTTTGCGGCGTGTGCCCAGAGATCCGAGGTCGTGACTGTATGAATACGGGGTCCCCGGAAGCTTCGACTCGACCCATTCCCCAGGACAGGTTCTTCATCCTGAACCGCTGTTTGACGGTCCCGGGGCCCGGCGAGGGCCTCTGCAGAGGCCGCAGATTGCGAGCAAGAGCTCCGCCCTGGTTTTCTTTCAATGCGCTGGATCTCCGGGCCTCTGCACGGTCAGATGCGTTTGCTTCGTGTGTCGCGGCGGCAGCCCCCACGACGCGCCGTGCCTTGCGAGGCGGCAGCGTGTCGCTCGGCCGCGCGCCACGAGAGGCCGGGAGGAGCTCGGGGACCGCGGTGCGCTCCGCGCGTCGCGCCGGGGCGCAGTGGGCCAGGACCGGTGGCGCGACGCGCCGAGCTAGGCGTTCCTCCGGAGGTCTAGCGCAAGGGCAAACAGCATCAAACAGCAAGGCGGAGGTTTTCGCACTCCGCGGCCTCTGGGGGCCCTCGCCGGGCGCCGGGACCGTCAAAAGACAACTCGGGATGAAAAGCCAATCTTGGGGAATGGGTCGAGACTTCCGGGGACCCCGTATGGAACAAATCGCGACGTCGGACCTCTGGGCCTGACCGTGCCTGCCGTCGCCCAGATCCTTGTCCGCCGGGTCGTACTCCATCTTGCCCGGCGTCTTCTCCTGTCGGGGGCGCCCAGGGGGGGGGCGTCCAAGAGGGGGGTCGCAAATCATGGCCCAGGCCTGTGCGCGGACAAGGGGGCACACCATGGGACATATTGAAAGAGGAAGGGGGGCCATGAGATGCCAGGAGATGTCATGGCCCCCGCCTGAGATCTGACCTCTCGAAACAATTGCGACATCGCGAACAATCACGAGTGGAGCCCCGGACCCCATCTTCACGCGCTATTTTTCGAGCGGGCTCCATCTGTGAGGGCTCCAGAGGCCGGAAAAAAGAAGACAACACGCCTAGCTCGAAGAAATGAAGCCGCCAGGATCTCAGTGACATCCCCCTAGTCAACACGGCCCTATTGTAGAAGAAGAAACAACGCCGTAAACATAAATAAACTATTGGCTCTCCGCGCGGATTTCTTGGATCTGCGCTGGGGCCCCCCCTGGCGGCGACTCCTGCGCCGCCCCTGGCGCGCGGAGCGCGCCAGGGAGGGGGTCCAGCGCAGATCCAAGAAATCCGCGCGGAGAGCCAAAAGTTCATGTTTGTAGCGTTTTTTCACCTTCGATCTTGGACGCTCCCGATGCCCCTGGGGCTCTTCTGTGAGGCTTCCCAGGGCCTGAAAAACAGGACGAACACGCCCGGATCGAAGAAAAATGGGCCGCCGGGGGATCTCAGGGATCATCAGCACGCCGGAAAGGAGGAGGAAGAGGAGAAGGAGGAGGAGGAGGAGGAGGAGGAGGAGAGGAGGAGGAGGAGGAGAGGAGGAGGAGGAGGGAGGAGGAGGAGGGGGGAGGAGGAGGAGAGGAGGGGGAGGAGGAGGAGCGGAGGAGGGAGGAGGAGGAGGGGAGGAGGAGGAGAGGAGGAGGAGGAGGAGGAGGAGGAGGAGGAGGGCTCCCGATCCTTGGAGGCCCTGGGGCTCTTCTGGCCCCCGGGCTCGTCCGCGGCCCCGCCGCCCGCCGCCCCGGCCTCCTCAGGGGCGGGGGGCGAGCCGTCCGCTCCCGGGGGGGGGGCCTGCGCCGACGCCTCGCCGTCCCCGCACGCGGGCGCCGGGCCTCCCAGGGGCGTCTGGGCGTCGCGCCTCCTCTTGATCGCCTCCGTGCAGAAGAGCACAAACATTCCGAGAGAGCCATCGTATATGGAAAAGATCAAAAAAGTGTTTCAGAATGTTCTGCCTCTGGGGGCCCTCGCCAGGCCCAAGGCCTGTCAAAAAACGACTCAGGATGAAAAACCTGTCCCGGGGAATAGGTCGAGGCTTCCGGGGATTCCGTATTCAAAAAACTCAACATCGGATCTCTGGGTTACAGGAGGCAGCTACCCCTGAGATCCTGGCGACTCACATTTTTCGAGCCCGACATGTTCGCCGTGTCGGGGGCCCCGCGGGACCCTCACAGATCGATCCAGCTTGAAAAATAGCACAGAAAGATAGGGTCCAGGGCTTAGTCGTGATTGTTCACGATGTCTCAATGTTTCGAGACGTCGGATCTCAGGGACCGGGAAGTCTTTGTCGGAAAGATTGCGGAGGAGGATTCGGCCCCTTTGGGGGGCTGCTACGCCGGATTGGGCCTCGGATTAAGCGAGATTATTCCAGATTCTGCGGAAGCCGGATTGAGCCAGATTTCGGACCAGGGCAAGGCAAGGCCAGAAATTTACCTCCCAGGAGTTGCATCCGGACAATCAGCTGCATATCTGAGCTGCCCCGATACGCAGCACGCGACACGTAGCGTACTGATACGGAGCTTAACGCGTAGTAGACTGATCACGTATGTCTGACGCGACACGTTTGCCAAAGCGTAAGCAAATACATGGAGCCAACACGCAAGCATTGACACGAACGTCTTGAGCACGGTTCGTGCTGCGTATCAAAACGGGCGTGTCGAGGAAACTAACACATACGTTTTCAAAGGTCCGCGCAGATTTCTTGGATCCGCGCTGGACCCTCCTTTCTGGCGCGTGGATTGCACCAGGAGCGGCGCCGAGGCGCCGCCAGTGGAGCCCAGCACCGATCCAAGAAATCCGCGCGGAGCTCCGACAATTTTTGTGTATGTTGTGTTCTCTTCGCGCCGCCTCGTAGCGCTCCTTCATGCCCTGGAACCTCTCTGGCGGCGCGTGCCGAGGGGGGTGGGGGCGGGAGGGCGGGGGGGCTTCTGAGAAGCCTGGGGGGGGGCTCCTCGGAAGGCAGGGGGCCTCTTGCAAGACAGCCTGGATGCTTCAGAAACATTGTTAGAAGCCTTCAGGCCCTTCGAGGAAGGGCCCCACAAGGCGAAGAAACACCCTGTCTGTTTTCACGAAGCTCCCTCCCCCCACTCACGCCACCCCCGTGTGGGCGCCGCCAACCTCTGCTTGGCCTCGTCCGTGCCGCCGTTCTTGTCCGGGTGCATCTGCCTCGCCTTCTGGCGGTACGCATTATCGATGTCCTTGTCGGTCGCGTCGGGGCTCAGCCCAAAGTATTGGAAATTAAGCACGTCGCCAATCTTCTCCAGCTCTTTCAACCTCGAGTGGTACAGCCTGGACTGGCTCAGCAGTCTCTGGCCAAGCTCGTGCGTGAGGCCCCTGACCTGCAGCTGGCTGAGAGCGGCAGCCCACTCGTAGGCCTTCTCCTCGGTGGCCTGTGTGAGCGAGGCCACAGTGTTCTCCCCGAAGACGGAGTGATCGCCGTCCTCGTTCCGCACGAAGGTCCTCGCGGCACCCGTGTCCGGGTCAACATTCCGCACGATCGTGGGCCTGCCTTTGCCGTCGTACGCGATGCACTCGCCAGAGGGGAAATTGTCGGGCTCCTCCGAGGCCGCTGGCCCGCCTTCGGTCGGCTGGCCGCCCTCCGCCACTGTGCGCGACGCGCCCTGGAGGGCCGTCGCCCCGCAGTGTTCGACGGCCTTCGTCATGGAGTCCACCAACTCGTTGCAGACTGGGCACCGGTACCTGACGCTTCCTGGCGCCGCTTCTGGAATCCAGTGGGCGGCCGCTCCCACCTCCACAGAGGCCTTGGCCGCCTCCGGCTGCGCCGAGGCTCCGGTCGCCGCCTGCGCCAGCGCCGCCGCCGCCTCTGGGGCCGCAGAGGCCTCGGCCGCCGCCTGCAACTCCGAGAGCGCGGCCGGCTGCGCCGATGCTCCAGAGACCCGCCGGGTCCGCAGCCAGGGGTCCCCGACCTGCTGCGTCTCCTCCAGGGGCGGGGATCTGCGGGGTGGGGCTTCTGAAATCACGGCGGGCCTCCTCGGGGTCGCGGCCGCGGCAGCGACGGTGTCGCGCGCCGGCGCCAGCGAGGCCGCGGGTGCTGCCTGCCACGTCGGCGGCTGCGGTTGCGGATACGCCGCAGCCGCCTGCGGGCCGGCGGTCGAGCGCAGCTCGCCGCACTGCCAAGATTGGCTGGCTGCTGGCTGGACTGCTGGACCGCTGGCTGGCTGGACTGCCGGCTGGCTGTCCGCTTGCTGCCGCACGCCAGGCGGCTGGATTGACCCTGCCAGCAAAGCGCAGCTCGCCACATTGCCAGCACAATCATTGGCCTTCTGCCACGCCGCTGACGCCGCCTGCGCAGGTGGGCGCGCTGGCGCCGCGGGGGGCAACACCACTCTCTCTACGACCCTTGTGTCGTCGAGCATCTCCGAGCGCACACAGTCGCCTGGCAAAGTCATGGCCCGCCTCGCCTCTGTCACCTCCGAAGTCTGCGGCCACACACGTGTACTCGGCGTCGAGGCAGTCACGGCTCCGCCCGTGGTCGTGGAGGCAGCGGTCAGGCCAGAGGGTCTCTGAACCGTCTTGGTGTGAGCAATGCCGTCGCCACATCGTTCGGCTGGCTGCTCTGCACAAAATGCATCCTTGCACAACCGCGGGTCGTCAGACTGCAACCAAGTGCCCGGTTTTTTATCTATCTGGATCGCGCCAGTCTTCGTATCCGTCGCCACGATCCTGGCAGGGATCCAGCAACCGTGCGTGTTGGAGTAATACCTGATGGTGGTCTGGTCCACAGCAGACACGTACGTGGATACCATAATGGCTCCAGTCTTTCTCAAAAGACCATTGCGACCTCCCCGACGGCAAGGACTCCTCCAGGAGCCACAAGACTGCAATCTGAGCCGACGTGCCATGGAGGAGCAAGTGGAGGAGGAAACGGATGCAAAGAGAAGGATACCATCGGAACAGAATCTGATGACAAACACGGCCACGGTACAAAAGAAAAACACCCAAACAGGTGCCAACAAACAGAGTTGTTGAACTGCTCGGCGTACGTAGTATGGCCCTCGAACAATATCTTCGCCGAGCGTCGAGGCTCAACGCCTGGGATCGCCTACTGCGGTCTTACTTGGGCCTCCGGTGAGGGTTAAGCCATAGGGACTCCCCGTCCAGCATGTGGCGGCATCCAGCTAGGACGTCACTTGAGCGACGGATAGAAATGGGCCTTGTAATAGCATAGCTGCGCTTGCGCAGTGGCTTACGGGAAAGAGGGCCCTCACGCGCGACCTTGCGCGCGCCACAGCACTGACGCAAACAAATTAAAGCGCTTGGCCGTAAAAACTTGTCGCTTCAATCGGCTCATGGGTGGCTCGCAGAGAGGGGCGACTGAAAAGACGAGTGCGAATCTCTCGGTACTCCTCTGTTCTCGGGGGCGGCCAAGAGGGGGGCGTCCAAAAGGGGGTGCGCAAATCATGGCCAGCGGCATGTGCGCGGCCCAGGTGGGGGGGCCAGGGACGTAATGACATGAGAAGAGGCGCCATGAAATCTGGGGAGATGTCATGGCCCCCGTCATGATATCCTCCCCCCCAATCCTCACACCCTTCTTGGCCGCCCCCGATGTGTCTGCACCGCGAGCAAGCCAGCCGGTCTGGATGGGTCTTGGTGTGTCTCGTCTTACTGATCGCGAACCGCTATTTACTGTCAAAACCTGTAATTCGTGTGGTCAGCGTGGTTGATCTGGCAGCTCCAGTCTGGCTGGCTCCACCTGGTCTGGCTGGTCTGGTCACAGGCGGTCTGGGAAGTCTTGCGTCTTGACATTGTTCTTCGATCATGTTGCCCGTGCTTGCATGTCTGCTCTGACTTCCGCGCCTCTCTGGAGGAAGGGAGGCGCCCGACGATGAGGAGTGAAGACGAGGCGGAAGAGAGAGGACGAGGAGGTAGCAGGGGCGAGAAAGAGGACGGAGAGGAGGGAAGAGAAGCGAACAGAGGGAACAGCAGAGGCAGGATGAGAGGAAGGCCCAGGCGGTTCGGAGCCGGCCGGCGGAGGCGGCGGCGGTAAGGACGGAACTGGCAGCGGCGGCGGCGGCGGCGACAACGACGAAGTCGTCGTCGCCGTTTGGACTTTTTGTTCGTCGTTCCTGGAAGTTCTCGTCGCCACGGCTGGTTTGGGGCTCCAAAACTGTTTGGTGACGGAATGCGTGGTGATCTCGGAATCCCCATCGACCTCCCCGCGCGGTCCGTCACCGGACGGTCCTGGGGCCTCGGAAGCCCCGGTCGCCCGAGACAGAACGACCTGGGTCCCAAAACCGCGCGGCGATCCCGAATCCCCGCTGAAAAACCGCGCGGTGTGGCAACCACGCCGTTTGGGGCCCCCGAACTGGGCGCGGGTCAACGACGCGGCCGGGACACACCCTGCGAAGAGTCCACGTTGGACGTGCTGGGATGCGGGGCCCTCGCCGACCGACCCGCAGCAGGGGACCGTCCCGCGAGGCCGCGGATGTGGATGTGTGCTTCGCCCGCGCAGCTGGGCACTTCCCCTGCCCTGGATTCCTCCCCGTCGCGGAGTTGAAGTCAGCTGGCTCTGGGCAAAGGGTGTCTTTCGCTATGGGGCCGCAGCAAAACAAGTGCAATAGCCCATCCTGCGGCTCATATCGCGTGGCCTCTCTCACGGACCCACGATACCGAGTGCAACGCCTCGTGCCGCAACCAGCACGATGCAGCACGAACAAGTGCACGAACTGCTGCGTACATGTTTGAACCCCTCTTTGCAAAGGACCCGTTAGCTTAGGTCGAGCATGCCCTCCTACAGGCGGATCTGGGAAGAAACATCTAAAATAGTCCAGCGATAATCAAATGAGTCCAGAAAACGTCCCCAGACTTTTTTTTTTTTTTTTGAATTTTTGAATGTTCCTCCTGTAGAGGGACATGCCCGACTTAACACCAACCCAAATATGATTGTTCCTCGCCTCTTGTTTTCTTGGCCAAACCGTGGGCGCGAGCGCTGGAGGCAGCCCGCCCGCTACCCCCCGCGCAGGCTAGGACAAGCGCGGGAGAGAGGCAGCAAGGACAGCAAGGCATGACGGACGGTGGCGGATCGACAGAGAGGAGCGGCGAGAGCGAGAAACCCATCTTCAGCCGAGTGGCGGCGCGCACAAGGGGGGTAGGAGGAGGGGGGGAGGCTTCTCAGAAGGAGCCGGCTTCTTCGAAGCCACGGGCCTTACATCTTCAGACAAGGCTGGCCCGCGCAAAGGAAAGAATCCATGGACCCATTGGCATATTTTGCTCCCATCGTACTTAAAGACCACATCCAAGAAATAATTTCGATCACCCGGAAACGTGTCGAAAGAGTGTCAAAAGAGTGTCGAAGCAGTGTCGGACGAGTGTCTCCCAGGGCCCGACACGTGAAAACCCGCGAGTTTCGGTACTTTCGTGGTGCTCGAAATTCTTTCTGGTGGTCAACGCTAACGTAGGTTGGAACATCATAACCATTGGCCTGGGTCTGACGTTCTCCTCGCCTCCTGCTTTCTGGACCAAGCCGCGGGAGCGAGCGCCCGAGGCATCGGTGGGCGGGACTCGCCACCCCCGCACAGGCCAGGACAGCGCGGGAGAGAGGCAGCAACAGGACAGCAGGGCGCGACGGACTGTGGCGGGCACAGAGAGAGACAGAGAAAGAGAGAGAGAGAGAGAGAGCGATTCGACCTGCTCGTCCTCCTCCTCCTCCTCCGCCTTATTCTTCTCGACCTCCTCCGCGAGAGCGGCGAGAGCGAGAAACCCATCCTCAACCAGTTGGCGGCGCGCACAAGGGGGGTAGGGGGAGGGGGGGAAGGCTTCTCAGAAGGAGGCGGCTTCTTAGAAGCCGTGGGCCTTACTCGGGGGCGGCCAAGAGGGGGACGTCCAAGAGGGGGGGGGGGGGGGGGCGCAAATCATAGCCGGCGTCATGTGCGCGGCCCAGGGGGTGGCTGGAGAAGTATTGGAATGAGACGAGGCGCCATGACATCTGGGGAAATATCCACGGCATCATCACCCCCCTCTTGGCCGTCTCTGGCCTACACCTGCAGCCAGGGCCCCCGCGCCATCGACGAGGCAGCCCCCTGCAAAGAAACCGTCCCCCCCTCCCCCGTGCCCTCCCTTGGCGCGTGGCCGAACCGAGCTCGGTCCTCGTCCCGCCTTCCTCGCCTCTCCCGCCTCCCTGATCGAGCCGCTCAGGTCATGGTACTGATAGGCTCTGGGATTCAGAAGAACTGCCCGGGATTGAGCACATCCGTTTAGAATTTAGTACACTGGCTTCTGCGTTTACGAACTGATGTTTTTTTTCGTCTTGTTTTGATTAGGCGGCGCAACTGAATAAATCCGTTGCTCGCTTGAGTAAATCATCGTTGTTTCAATCATTTGTTTTAAGAACGCGCGTTCATTCATTACCGTGACCTGTGTTAGCCGATGATCCCCTGCCGCGTCCGGTCTCCCTCCCCTCGCCCCTCGGCCCCGACTCCGCGCCTCCCTGCCGCAGGCAGGCCTGCGGGCGATCGGGCCGCCGCGCCGATCGTTCAACCTTGAACCGATCGCGGCCGCGCTCGTTCAAGGTTGAATTCCGTCGGATCGTATGGCGTCGCCGCAATTTTGCAGGAGGAAAGAACGCGCAGAAGGATAGCGAGGAAGAGAACACGCAATTGAAGAGTAATGAGCCACACTCAAGAAGACGGTGACGAGAGCAGGAGAAGGGTGCGGGCTCACACGGTGTATCGTCTGATCTTCCATCGCGAACCACGACAAGGTGCGCTCTCGAAACGTTCGGAAGAACAGCGACGAACATCATAAGCACAGGACCACTCACGGAGTACACGGCACGTAAATAAAGCCATGGACGCGCGTGCAAACGAACGGGTGAGAACGCCGGCAAGAGGATCGACACAAGTAGTCACATGCACATGATTTAAAGGTACAGGAGGCAAGAAATTCGATTCGCCCCGCAAGCTGTCCTGAAACATCCAGCCCAAGTCCTGGCGTTAGTTGGGTAAGCGCGGTGGCAAGTCAAACAATATGCAAATGAACAATTCGCACGAGGGGGGCATGCAACTGCCACGTAAGCCATGGCAATGCAAATTGTTCGCCTGGATCATGAACCTTTTCTGGAATCCCGTGCACGGATATTGCCCCTTGCGCAGAGAGCGCGCATGTATACCTCGGGCCAGCAGCGGAATGACTGTATGATTCCGTCCTGCCCTGTGCCCTGGTCGTTGATCCTGCGCAAGGAGCCTCAGATGGTAGCCATCGGGCGAATCCGTGATCCAATAGAGTGTGCGTACACTTTGGGCGACTGCGAACACATATTTCTGATTGATTATGAAATTTAGTTTCGGAAGGGGTTAGTCCACAATGCTAGACTTCTCGTGCGAAATCGAACAATCTAACTTTTTTGTGTTGAACGGCCCCGGAACCCTGCACTGCACGTTGCTCGCGAGCGCGGTCCTCCGATTTGCGACGCTGGCGTTACCCCGAGGGGCGGCCGCAGGGAACACGAGGCTCTGTGGATCCTCCAGGGCTCCAGATCCTGGCGACCTCGGCGCGCTCCCCTGAAACGCCGACCGCAGAATTTCACTTGCAGGGGGCAGGTCCAGGGGAACCCACACTCGAATCGGTCAGCCGAATCGTCGATCGGGCTGCATCGGATCGGCGGAAACCGGCAGCCGAGTCGGGAGAAGTCGAATCGGCGGAAATCGGCAAGGTAGCAGGCCTCCGCTGAGAAATCGGAAACCACATCGGAGTCCGAGGTCGAATCGAATCGGAGTTGAGATCCACCGAAATCGAATCGACTCGAACCGGAGGAATCGAAACGAGCCCTGCAAGTCTGCCCCACCACCACGCATGGCCAGGTGGCCAGGGCCATCCTGGGACCGTGGACGGTGCACAGACCATCCTGGCCTCGGCCAGGCGGGTCTGTGCACCATGCACACACCATCCTGCACGTCTTCCGTGCCGCCTGATGGCCACCTGGAGAGCTCAGAATGGCCCTGGTCAGACACAATGGTGTACAGGTGGGCTGGTGGGCTCTGCGCAAATTCATCTTACTCGAATTCTCGCCAGTGCTGAAACTTATCTTATCTTACCTTAACTAAACTGATCTGATTCGGAATCTCAATGTATCTGGTGTTTGTTTTTGGTCGCGGCGACCTGGGGCGAGACGCAGACGGCCAAGCATGGCACGTCGGCTTCTCGAGGTGGAACGCGGGCAACCAGCAGAAGTAGGAGGAACAGCCGCACCAGGGAGACGAAGTGGAAGCCCCGCTCAGACAAAAGGGCCGCCTTCCTGGGTGGTGCGAGCGGTCTCGGGCTCTCGATGGGCCGGCGCGCAGTGGTCAGTCCAACCGATCGAGAACCAGAAGCGTGCAAGGCAACGTCTCCCAGCACGCACGTGTGTGCACAGTCGGGGCGTTGACCTAAGGAACCCTAAGCAAGGAACGAGGCCCCTTTCTTCCATAAGTTGAACTTCAACTTCCCATCGGAAACCTAAGGACAACCTAAGGCAAACTGTGAAACAATGAGGGAACTTGGAGCTCCTCCCCAGCAGACAGGGTTCCTTCTTCAGCGCCCCGACGGTGGCTGTGAACATGTGCGCGCTTGGCGTTGCCTCCGCGCGCCTGCGACTGCCGAAATCCCGTCCCTTGCAACCGTTGCCGGTTCTCTCTTTCGCCAGTGTCTCTCTCCGCGACCGGTCCCAGTCGGAGTGACACCCGCATTCCCTTGGCGCATGCGAAACAAGTGTGTGTGTGTGGTGTGCCGCGCCACCCGGACGCAGAGCGGCTGGCTGCCGAAAGAAACGCGTGCACGTGCGCGTGCGCGCGCGCGTGTGTGTGTGCCGTTGTGTATGTGAATGTCGTCGCCTGGTCGTGATCTTCGTCCCCCTTCTTCTGCGTCGGACCGCGTCGCTGAGTCTGCCACGGCTCCCTTCTTGCGGCCTGGCAATTCGCTGGATGCGCTGCGTCTGCCCGGCCTGTGCGTCGTCGTTCGTACCCCTCGCCTTCTCTGCCTTCGGCCTCATCGTGCCCCTCCGTCGTGTTCGCTGTCGTCTCGCCTCGTCTCTCCTCCCTCTGGCCTGCCTGCCTGCTGCGCGACGCTCGCCTGCCGCTTCCCCACACTGCGACGCTCGCCCCGATCCGCCACTAGAACCTGGGAGAGTGAACTCTTGGCTCGGGAGCGTTCGACATACGTGCGCGCGCGGTTTATGTTGGCACATCTCGATGGTTGATGGCCGGCGGTTGCTGCAATTCTGCGGGAGCACCACGGTGTACACATCCGCCACCGTGCCGCTGGGCATGGGAAGTGGGCGTGTCCTCAGGTCCTTTGTCCAATCCTCTGAGCCCCATTCCTCCCTCCTGAAAAGTCTTCAAGGGGCCCAGACTCCAAATTCACAAATCTCCCGGGGCTTGGTGCGTGACCAGTGGGGCTTCCCGCGTGTACCTTGGGGGCCCCAAGACGGGCCAAGGGGGTCCCAAGATGGGCCAAGACAGTCCGAGAAGGCCCCGAGTCTCCGAAAGATCGTTCCAAGACGCCAGAGATGGCCCCAAGATGGCCCAAGAGGCCTCGAACACGCCCGAAAATGCCTCCAAGAGGCTTCCCACAGAGGGCCCCACGAGGCAAAACAAAAATTGCTTTCTCTGTTTTCCGACGCTCCAAGGCGGCCCAGGATGCCCCCACGATCACCCCAAGAGGCCTCCATGAGGGTCCCACGACGGCTCAAGAGCGCCCCAAGCCTGCCCAGGAGGCGCCCAAGACGGCCAGGGGGGCCCCAAGACGGCCCCAAGAAAGGGCCCAAGAAAGGGAACACGAACCGAAAATCTTAGCCTTCTGCCAGAAGAGGCCCCCAAGAGGCCCAAGAGGCGCCCAAAAGGCCCCACGAGGCTCCCAAAAGGCCCCGAGTTGCCCCCAAGAGGCGCGAAAGAGGCCCCAAGCGGTCCCAAAACGGTCCTGCAAAGCCGTCCAAACTGCCTCCAAAAGGCCACCGAGATGCCTCCCACGAGATCCCAACGCACGTCCAATAGGCATCATACCCACAACACAGGAACGGTGGCGGGATGGGCCACGTGCCTAACCGATCCGGCGTGTGAGGTTCAAAAAACCTACAGCCCGGAGCTCTGCTCTGCTGGGGGTGCCGGGGTGGCTCTGCCGGGGCCGGGGGAGGGGGGCGAGGACCCCCCCTGCTGCGCCTGTGCTCCGCTTTGCCCCGCTTTCTTGGGGGGCCTCGGACACGTCAAACTGTACAACTCAGGACCTCCCTCCCAGATCGGCGGCATTGGCAAGAGGCCATCACAATATGTGTGTATATATATATGTGTGTGGATTACGCTTGTGTGCGTTGACGTATACCTCCTTTTTTGCACCGGCTCGGCCCAATCCCCTTCCCACGCAACTCTTACAATCGTTGGCATGCCAATTGCAGGATGCCCGCTGCATGGCGCCTGTCTTCTTCTAGCGCTGGTCGCCTTAACCTGCACAGTTCCTGGAATTCCACGGCCTAGGCGGGGGCGAATCGGCGAATCATTTTGACCCACGCGTCCCACTAGCTTACGACCAGCTGTTGTTTCAAAGCTGCTAAAGAAGACGATATGAAACGTATCTGTAAGTGCGCGCTATAAACGAATCCCATTACGACGCGCCCGTCGACCGGAGCCAATGGCGCATCGGAGGGGAAAAGGTGTTTGTGTGTGCTTCCGTGCCTGCTGCCATCCCATCCAATCCACCCATCTGCTAGGCCAGGTAGTACTTCGCTTACGCGTGTCCCGGCTCAGCGCTCGCGGCGGTGTAGCCACCTCGCCGCCGGAGCAACAAAACAATGCTTTCCCGGGAGTCGTCGTGTCTTTGGTCCGAGCGGACGTCGCCCTCGTCGCCACACATGCGCAGGAGGCAGTCGAACTGGGAAGCGGTGAGGGTTTTCCTCTGCCCCTGGAGGGCTCATGAGGAGGAGATCCTCGTCTTGAGTATTTTCTTAGGGTGGAGGGCTTAGGGTGCAATCCATATGGGCTTTTGCACCTCGAAAACACATCCGTCTTTTGGTTGGGTGGCTTTCAGGGTGAGTTCTATGGTGTTTAGCAGCCTGTGTATATGCAGTGCCTGGATTCTGCTACGACGTCACGATTGCGACCACACGTGGTCAAGCACCGTTGATGGCTTGCACCCGGCAGTGTTTCAAACAAGGCTTCGCAGCCCCGCCGATGTCACCGCGGGTTGTTCGTGCCTCGACGAATCCACGCTCAGCGCACCTGCGAATGGCAGGTGGGGGCGAACTCTCTTGACATGTCATTAAATCTTGTTTCCCCCTGTGTTGCCGGCGCCCCGTCCCTGATTGGCCACGTGGTTCGATATGGGTAGGTTGGCTCGCTGGTTGGTTGGCTGGCGGATTGACTGTTGGGTTGGATGGTTGGATCGATGGGTGGTTGGTGGCTGGCTGACTCTCTGGGCCCCCGAGCATGCGACTGGCGCAAGACAAGTGAACGGGCACGCGACTGGCGCGCGGTAGGTGCATGAACACACGACTGGCATCCGACAGGTGAACGAGCACGCGACTGGCGCCCGACTGGTCAATCCAGAATTCTAGAATTGTTTGTTGTGATCTAGAATTCACTTCGTCGTTCTAGAATTGTTTTGGTCGTTCTAGGATTGGTTTTTGCTTGCGCTTCATAAGATGTGAATTTCTAAAACTTGGTTTTGCGTTATAGAACTACTTTTGCTGCGCTAGAATTCGCCTTGCAACTCTAGAAATTCGTGGTGTGTTCTAGAATCTGTTTTGCTTTTCTAGAATCGCCTCCGACCGTTTGGCAGGAAACGCGTGGAAACAACGGCGGGGGTCGAGATTCGGGGGCCCATCTCTGGGTGGCTGGGGTGGCTCCGAGTGGAGCCCCGAGCTGGTTTCGGAGGAAAATATGCGCACGTTTGCAGAGCCACCGTACTCCAGCTAGGTGACATGGGGGACAGGGGTCTGGATTGAGAGATGGCGACTCCAACTGAGGTGCTGGCGACGGCGTGGGCGTGGTCAAGGGCCGAGCGCACGTGGATCCCAGAAACGTGATGCGTTAGCCTCCCGCTGACATTAGCGATTCGCGCGAGCGGGCGGATGATGATGTTGGGGGGGTGGAGGGGGCCGGGGGGGAGAGGGAGGCAGAGGAGGGGACATGGAAGCCTTGGAGGAGGAGGTGCAGGAGGAGGCGGAGGCAATGATGGGGGTGGAGGCGGAAGCGGGGGTGCAGGAGGCGGAGAAGGAAAGGACGGGGGAGAGGGGGAGGGAAATTGACGGGTGACGATGTTTTGGGCGAAACAGCATTTCAGATTTCACCGTTTGCCCTCCACCCGACGAGAATGCTCGGTCGTCGTCCTCCTCCTGCGTCCTTCTTCTGACACGTTTTTTCCGCGTGCGTGCGGTGGGGCGGCCTGAGCGTCGTCCGTTTTGAATCCTGCGCTATTTTTGTCTGCGCCCTCTGCGCGGGCCGCATTTCGCCTCTCGCCCTCTCTGCGCATCTTGCGGGTGCGTTTTTGGGGCAGGTCTGCACATCCTGCTCCTTTTCTCCTGCACGTTCGCCTCGTCCTGTCCCTTCAAAACCTTTCTACGTGGGGTCCGAGTCGATGAGGCCGGAAGATCGCGCCGCATCAACTATTCATCGGCGACGTCGGCGTGGAGAACGTCAGGCTCCACATCAAACCGCCCATCTCGGAGGCCTGGACCCTTCACCTGGGACCACGTGCATTGGGCTCGAGCGCGGTCAATGTGTTTTTCATCCGTAGCGCCTGCGGACGCAGGCGCGAGGGTCGAGACTCGCGGGGCGCGCCGGGCGCGCGGGGCGCGGCGCGAGTGGAAAAGCGGAGAGCGGCCGCGGATGGCGGGGGGGGGGGAGGAGCCCCGACCGACGAGAGCGGACGGGCGAGGGGCGCGCAGGCGGCATCAGGCACCGAAAACAACGTGCCAAGAGATCCGATGCCGTGATTCTGTCCATAGTTACGGGGACTCCGGAAGTCTCGCCCCGTTCCCCCAGACCGGCTTCTCATCCTGAGTCGATGTTTGACAGTCCTGGGGCCCAGCGAGGACCCCTAGAGGCCGAAAATTGTGAAAAGCTTCCGCCTTGATTTTTCCGTCACGCTGGATCTCTGGGAGCATAAGTAGCGGAGCAGCGAGAGAACCGTGCTGTCGAAGTAGAAGACGGCCGGGCGAGGTGACTTAGCATCGCCGCGCGCCAGGGGCAAGGGCCGCCGAGCGGGGCCTTCAGGAGTGGGCAGAAGCCGACAGAGCGGTCAACACACGCTCGATTGCAATTTGCCCAGCGTGTATCCCCTGAACAGCCGGTGGGCCGCCGTCGTCTTGATGATGATGATGATGATGATGATGATGATGATGACGATGACGATGACGATGACGATGACGATGATGATGACGATGATGATGACGATGACGATGACGATGACGATGACGATGACGATGACGATGACGATGACGATGATGATGATGATGATGATGATGATGATGATGATGATGATGTTGATGATGATGATGATGATGATGATGATGATGATGATGATGATGATGATGATGATGATGACGATGCCGACGGTGATGGCGATGGTGGTGGTGGTGGTGATGATGGTGGTGACGATGTGGGTTTCTAGACAAGACGACGGCGAGAAGCGCAACGTTCCGAACAGCCCTCGAGGGGGACCAAAAGCGCCTGTGCGCGCCTCCATGCGCCTGCGACGCAGGGCCGCGCCTGCAGCAACTTCTGCGCCGGCGCGTGCTGGCGCGCCCCGCGGGTGCCAACCCTCGCGCCTCTGCTTCTTCGCGAGGGTGCCGCCTCGGCCACGCTGCCGTGGATTCACGGGCCCGGGTCCACCCAGACCCAGGCCAGTCGGGCTCCGCAGGATCCTGCAAGATCCCGCAGGATCCTGCAGGATCCTGCACGCAGAACCGGAGTCAGTGCACCCCTGGCCCCTTCAGGATCCGGCAAGATCCTGCAGGATCCTGCAAGCTGACTGGGGTCAGTGCGCCCCTGGCCCCCGCGGAATCCCTCAAGATCAGGCTCTCTGACTGACACCCGTTTGCATCGACCCCCGCCTCCTCAGCCTCGCTCCTGGCCTCGCGGGCCCCTCCCAGGGGGCAGGGAAAGACTGTACAGCTTTGATGCTCAACTATGGTGGGCCGCCGGTGGCTCAGCACCCTCGGCCTGCTCGCCCACACGTGGGCAAGCCTGCGTTCGTCGGCGCTGCCGGTGTAAAGTGCTTGCGCGTGCTCGCATCGCTGGCCGTTGCTTCGACAGTGCCGGGTCTCAGGCGGCTGTGGGCAAAGCCAAACAGTGCGCACGTCACCGCTGAGAAACCACGGTAGAGCAAGGAGTGCGTGCGTCCGACTTCCTCGGTTCCCACTTCTCGGGTGGGGGGTCGACTACAGAACTGGTTTACCTCAATATTGATCTCTCCTCGAGTCATACGTACAAAGTTCGTAGCTCCACGAGCATTCTACGCACTTCCCATGGATTCGGCAGACAACTCAATTCTGGGGCACACCGCTGCTGCAGTCAAACTCCTGCCCGAACTTCGGCGCTCCTGCGCCATGGCCCCGCGAGCGGGGACTCTCTGGCAAACCATGACGGCGGCACAACTCGAGCGAAAGCTCCAGCCGTGGGCCGGACCGTTCTCCACACTTGAGCGCCCCCTTCTCGTCCCGCCAGATCTCGCAGAATCCCGGCTGGCAGCGTCTTGGTCTCTGGGGCCCTGATCATTCTGCGGTGCTGGCGTTAGGTCGGGCATGGCCTCCCACAGGCGGATTGTGGAAGAGAAATACTTCAAAGGTCAGGCAGTAATCAACTAGAACCAGAGGAGCACGAATGCCGTCGCTAGACGTTTTTTTTACGATTCTTGAACATTCCTCCTGCAGAGGGGCATGCCCGAGATAATGCTAGCGGCCCGGATCCACCCCCTCGCTTTTGCATCAGCCCCTTACGCCCACCTCGGCGGGCAAGGCAGGCCCTGCCTGGCTCCGACAGGAGCATATGTGAGTGTCCGCATGGCCTTCTGCGTGTGTCTATCTATGTTGTGATGCCTGAGTTCCTGCTTCGCAGGCTTGCTCTGTGCTTGTCCCTGCTCGGGGCATGCTGCGACTTCCTCTCTCTGCGTCTCTCTCCCTCCTTACCTGTAAATTCCCTCCCTGGTCATGCAACCCACCCATCAGACAGCATCCTCTCTTCCGCAACGGGCTTCGAAGCCAACCTGAACTCCCACATAGACAGCCTGCACCATAGAGAACGCATGAGCGCGGAGGTGGTGCCCACCGCGACAAGGCAACGATCGCCCCTTGTCCGAACCTACGACCACAACAACTACCACAACCTCTACCAATACCGTTGCCAAGGCCTACGGCTACCACGACTGCCAAACTTCCCACCGCTACCACTACCATACTACTACCACTGCCACTGCCACTAACGACAGCACTGCCATCACTACCACGATCATCAGAAGGAGGGAGGGAGAACGGATAATGGGGCATTGCTGCGGAGTGGTTGCTGTCCCCATTGCGAGTGATCACCCAGCTGATGACCAGCGTCAAAGCTGGCACGAACGCCATGATGTCGGCCCTCTTGAGTGACTCCTCGAGATACGGGATGGTGCAAAACTGCTCCTACGCGCGGGGCCGATCATCCACTAAATGTGCAAGCAAGTTCCATATCACCCTGCATTTCCCCTCGCCATGCTCCCTTTCAAAAGTTATGTTCAAAGTCCTCTTTATCAAGGCCAGCAATTCTGGCTCCAGAAGTCTGGGGGAACGATTGCCTGCCGCGCACGGTGTGTGCGTGTGTGTATGTCTGTGCGTGTGTGCGTGTCTGTTCTTTGTGTCCAAGCATTGGCCGCGGCCTCAACTATCCGTTTCCTTCTGCCTTTCCGTTGCCCCCCCCCTCCTGCCCCTCCCTTCACCTACTCCTGCTACCTCTGCTGATTCTGCTCCGGCTCCGACTCCTCTGTATTTCTCGGCGGCGAGCTGAGCGGCATTCCGGCGGCCCAAGCTGTAGGAAACGGAAGAAACTCCTTCTCCTCATCTTCGTCGTCGTCCTCCTCCTCCGCCTCCTCCTCCGCCTCCTCCTCCTCCTCGCCTACCCACCTGCACTCTCGTCCTCGTGGTCGGGCGGCGTCGTCGTGCTCGTCCTCCTCCGCGCTCGGGGAAAATGATTATTTGCCTCCCGAGCAGGGATGGGGTCGGAGGATCGCACTGCATAGCCGATGCATCGCGATGTGGCGTGATCCTCCGACCCCATCCTCTCGGACCCCACGTGGAGGGGGCCCTGGAGAGCGAAGGGGAAAGGAGGAGGATCGGGCGGCGAGACCTGGGCAGGAGGAAGAGGATCGGGCGGCGATTTCGGCCGCCGGAAGCCAGCTTCGGGCTACGAGAGAAAGGGGCGAGACTTCTGGGGACCACCCCGTATCGATTGGCCGCGCGCAGGGGGGGTAGGGGGAGGGGGGACGGCTTCTTAGAAGGAGGCTGCTTCTTGGAAGGCGCCGGCCCTGCATCTACAGACAAGGCCTGTGCCTTCTAAGAAGCAGGGGCCCTTCTCTCCCCCTCCACCTACCCTCCTCTGCGCGTGGCCGACCTGCTGGCGGATGTATGGGTTCTCATCCTACCGCTCTGCTCCCCTGCTCTCCTTCCGATCATGCTACTGTTGCTACCCCCCTTTCGTTCCTTTCGTCTCTCTGCGTGGGCGACTCTGGAGACCCTGAATCAAAGCAAATGGTTGCCTCCCTTCAACTTCCGCCACCTTCCGCCAGCCTTCCGCTGGCTCTCACTGGCCTTCCGCTGGCCTTCCGCCGGCTTGCCCGTCGCCGCTCGAAGGATTGCAAAAAAACGAAGGATTGCAAAACAAACCCTTTTTCCGCTGGCTTATGCAAGGATTGCAAAAAAAACCTGCAAAAACAACGAGGATTGTTTTGCAATCCTTCTTCCGCTGGCTTATGCAAGGCCTGTCGCCGGCTTCCGCCGAAGGCGAGTACGCGCCGAAGGCGAGGCCGTCCCTGGAGAGCGCCACGTACTCCCTGTCCTTCGATCCTTCGCTCCCCAGACCTCTGGCGGCTCGATTCTTCTTAACATGGCCCCCCAGACATCTCGACTGGAGGCCTGGAAATGGGCACCAACACCAACGCAGGGGGTTGCCTTCACAGGGGGAAGACGATCCTCGATTTCGGTGTTGGTGGTAATATTTTGGCCACCTTGGAAGCCAGAATATTACCACCATCACCGAGATCGGGATCTTCTTCCCTCGGTGAAGGTACACCGCCGAAATTGGTGTTGGTGTCAACCTCTAGGCCTGCGACTCGACCCTTTCCCTGGGGCCGGTGTTTCATCCCGAACATTTGTTTCACAGTCCCCGGGCCCGAAACCGGCACCCAGAGAGCGACAGCTAACAAAAACAGTCCAAGCAAGCAGTCCGATCAAGCCGATGCACAGCCCAGGGTCGGGCGCGACTGGGTTTAGTCTCAAGCACTACTGTCGACGCCTGAAGGAAGCCCGCACGAAAGCGCCCTCGCATTCGGGAGCATCAGTACCAAACTTGAGTCACACCAGCCGATTTGGAAGTGGGCGTGCGAAGATTGGCGCGCACGGTCGTCCCATCGAACAGCGGGTCGCCCCAGTGAGTGTCCAGCTCTAAAAATGATTGCTCACGGCGGGCGCCACTGGGATAGACGAGCGGGCCAAGAATCTGCCATGGTGCCCACGCGATGTGCCAGTCTGAACTGGCCGGCTAAGGAATTGATCGCTCGAATTTCCCATTGGATACCTAGGTAAAGCAGCATTGACTTTCAACCTCATGCTGCTCACTCCAGTCTGGACTGACCGGCGAAAGAGTTGAACGCATGGACCATCCGTTGGGTACCTAAGGAAAGCAGCATTGACTTTCAACCTCATGCTGCTCACTGTCTCTTCCCAAAGCTCGTCTTCGCACCGAATCCAAACCACGAGTTCCTGAAACACCCAATGATAAACATAAGGTCTCAATTTCTCGAGTCGCCAGATGTATGGACCCCCTTTCCTCCCCCTCTCCTCCCCGCCCCCTCGTCCTTGGTCGAGGGGACGCTGTACTGGAGCACGGCGCTGCCAAGCTCGGAGAGGGTGGACACGCCGCCGACGCAGAAGCCTACGTAGGGCAGGTCTGACCAAGACGACTTTGAGGAGGAGGAGGACGAGGAGACGTCGAGACGGATGAGGATGAGGACAGAGAGCACGACGACGAGGAGACAGGAGGAGGACGAAGAGAAAGGAGGAGAAGGACGAGGACAAGGACGACGAGCAGGAGGAGAAGGAAGAGGAGGAGGAGGAGGAGGAGGAGGAGGAGGAGGAGAGCGAAGATAGGATCGGGAGGAGGAAGCGGAGAAGAGAGAAGGTCGGCGCCGACGAGGAGAGGTGGATGGGTGCAGAGAGGAGGACGAGAGATGCGGAGAGAGGACAGAGGAGCGCAGAGAGGAGGCCGACGCTGACGACGAGCACGACGACAGGAGGGGGGCCCTCCCCGCTGGCGCTTCCTCCTCCTCCTCCTCCTCCTCTGTCTCCTCCTCATCCTCTCCCTCCTCGCGAGCGATGGCCCCTCCCCCCGTCGAACACGACGACGACGACGCGAGGAGCACGCACAACAAGCGGCACAAGAAGCCCAACCGGCACTCTGGTCGTGGCACGTCGCGCTCGCCGTCGATGACAGCGGTGCTGGCGAGCTCGGCTAGCATTCGTGCGGACATGCCTGATCCACGCGACCCATCGAAGCGCACGGCTGACTTTACGGGCATTGTTTCCTTCGTGCAGAGCACGTCTTCGCTGCAACCCACCCGACTCCTGCGCGCTAGCGAACAATGAATCTGTTATAACGTCGCAGATTGACATTCCAGTCTGTGTCGCAACATCTGGTGTGAAACTCATGGATCACAACATTTCAAACATCCAACGGCTTGAACAAACACGATCGGGAAATTAGTTGGTGCCGTCCTGTGCCTTCGGAAGCCGGTTTCGGACCCCGGTACTGTCAAACAGCGGCTCAGGATGAAAAACAGCCCAGAAGAAGTGGTCGAGAGGTCTAGAGGGCCACAGCTCGAAACATCAAGCCGCCAGGTGCCTGGGATATGGCGGGCTCAAGGCAGGTCCTCGCGTTCGGCGCAGTCTCGCCTACGGCGGAAGGCAGCGGAAAGCCAGCGGAAGCCCGCGGCGGCACAACGGCGGTTGCTCCGCCACCGGAAGGTCGGGGGAAGGCGCCGGAAGTAACAACGATACGCCAACGTGTCGGAGGACTCAGGTATTCAGGAATTGGCAATCTGGGTGCAGCCTGTGGCCGATGGTTTCAACTTCTGGGGTACATCTTCTGCGATGCTACGTATTGGAGCACAGCCTGTGAGGTGGAACACTTCGGCTGCCACCTCAGGAGTGCAACTTCTAGGTTGCAGCTTCGGGGTGCAAACTTTTAGATGGACCATAGCGAATCAAGGATCGAGAAGAAACACAACACACATGCGACAAGTTGTCAAAGCCGAGACAAAACCACCCAGGAACAAAACCGCTGGGACACTCGGGACCTGGATTGGCGAATAGAAATTGCGACGGCCAGGTTCTGGATCGAGCAAGGAACAACTGGGAAAAGTGCTAACGAAAGACAAGAGCGACCAACAGCTGAGAATAGGACCGAGCTCGAAACAGACAGAAATATGGCCAACGGCAGAAGTTGCCGACAAGTAAGACACTGGACCAAGCTGGGGGACAACCAGCAGCAATGACTGGGAAACAAACTTGGGGCAGACCGAAGGCAGGAAAGTGGCGACCAACAAGACGCATGACCGTGCCGTGATTAGTCGGGATCGTGGCCGGCGAAGGACACGAATGGCGGCCAGGGGCTTCCTTTTCCAGAATCACGAAGGACCCCTTTCAGTGCAGGCACTGCTTCACGACCAGGCAACAATCACTGGCGCCTCACGATGAGTACGTCCATCGTATCTTCATCCGCGCCGCCAAGCAGCAAGGGCAACACCTGGGGAGAGCTAGAGGACTAAGCAATGAGCTGCCCCCCCCCTCCCACCAGTCCTCTTACAAGTGCGTCTTTGGATGCCTGCTGGTGGCCTGCACGGAAGCCAGAGAGATGCTGAAAAAAATGGCGGAGCCAAACATCACGACGTAGATCGGATGCCTTCTGGCGGCACGCACGGAGGCAAGAGAGCTGCTTCACAGCCATCGCGGAGCCAAAAATGACGACGTAGATCAGCCAGTGCATCATGAAGAAGAGCACGACCAGCACGCAGCTACCGAACCTGCACCGCAAGAGGAGGTGCAGCGCACGGTCGCGCGAGGAGGACGGCGTCCACCAAGGGACTGCTCTGTCGCGGACCTGGCGCTCGCGCGCATCGGTCGCGCAAAAACAGGGCTGCAGTGCAGCAGATGGATGAACCGCACGAGGCTACAAAAGGCCAATGGGGAGGGCAGCCGCAGACATGCAGGCCTTTCCCCTCCTTCAGCGTCTTCCGTCCACACGCAGGAGCGACTGTAGACCCTGGGCAGGAGAGGTCTTTCGGTGCGTGGCTTCCCGGGGGCGGCGGCGGGCCAGGCCTGAGCGCGCGCAGGCCGGGGCTGGGGGGAACCCCTGTGGGCTCGCACCAAGGGCCGCTCCTGCGAGGGGGTCACTGCTGCGCATACAGTGGAGGCCAGTCCACAAGAGACCTTCCACAAGAGACCCAATCCTGAGACCCCAGGACGTCCATCGATTAGTGGTATAGGAACGTCACGCTTTTCACCGCAGAACCATCGAAACCAAAGAAACCCATGGTACCCTGGAGGCAAGCAGGGCGTTTCTTGGCATGGGTCCCCACTGTAGTCGACCACTGAGGCTTGGGCCCAGGGCCCCGTCGGATCCGCAGGGGGGGAAGCCCAGCAGAGGCGCCACATGGCCTGACCTGCGGGAAACTCGTGCCCTGCGGCGCGGGCGCTGGCTCCCGGCACCGCGCGAGCATGTCGGCCTAGAGCGATCTCCGCGCCCAGAGGTCATCGAAGGCTGTCGTCCCCCCGTCTCGCATGCCTTTCGCGACGGGTCGGGAAAATGGGCATCACCGGCAGAGGGGCTCAATCCCCGTGAGGAGCTGCAGCAGCACCCCTCTTGGGCCTCCTGGAGAGGCCTCTCGGGCCTCCCGTTTGTGTTGTCGCTTGACTCTCAGCCCTCCCGGGCCTGAACAGTGGCAGAGTCTCTCATGCTCTCGTGGTCGCTTCGCCCTCAATCTTTTTTCGTTCTGAAGCTGCGTCGGGTATTCGCTTCTGCGCATCACTGCAGCTCTCTGTTTCACAGCGTTTGGGGTCATGCTGTCGACATCGCTACGTCGACTACGTCTTGTGATGCCCTGGCTGCTGTGATGTCCCTGGCCCGAGGGCGGGACGAACACGACCCGTCACTGCCGTGACTGCTCATCCTCGCGAGTGTGCGAGCTTACGTGGCACATCCACGCGTGACTTATCCGTAGCGATTGAAAGAACATTTACTTCGAGTAGGGGATCGACTACATAATTGATTTACCCCATCATCGATTTCCGCGTCGAACTTGCGAAGCAAATACGTAGAATGTTCATAGGTATACGGATGTGTCTACGTCTCTTCGTAGAGTTAACGAGCAAATCAATATTAGGGGAAATCATTTCTGCACTCGATCCCCAATTCGATTACTGGACTCCATACTACAATTCAAAGGAGCACTGATGAGCATCATGCTCGGCGGTTATGTTGCGCGGCTGTGTGTCCAGGCCCCAGATTCCAACAGGATCTCAATAGGAGTCCTGTACAAGGGCGTCTCATTGGATTCCAATCGGACTGCAATATGGATCCAACGGCCAGATTGGGCTCCAGAGGAACCCAATCAAAAACACAATAGGACTCCGATTGGGTTCCTATAGGCTTCAAGTCGGAACTCAATAGGATTTCAATCGGATTCTTTCCCGCTGGACTCCTGCTTCATTTCAATCAGATTATCGGGCAAACCCCACATTTGATCCGAATAGGACCCGATAGGATGGAACCCTACTATCGTCCACTATGAATCCAATCGGATACCCAATAGGACTCCTATCAGATTCCAAGGGGTTCCAATAGGAAGCCAGCAGTAGGATCCCAATGGGATCCCAACTTAAACCTAATAGAATAGGAATGGGTCCTGTTGTCCCCATTAGGGCCCCAATAGCATCCGATCAGGAACCCATTAGGAAATAGTCCCATTGCACCATTGTAGAATTCCAATCGGAACCCAAATAACAAGAATCGTACTGGCTCCCAATGGGATTTGAATTGGAACCAAACAGGATCTTAATAAGGAATCCGATGGGACTACGATCGGCTTCCAATTTCATTCAAACAAGAATCCAATAGGAATGAATCCTGCTGGATCCCAGTCGGACCACCACCACGAGGATGATGCAAATTTTCGTCCATTTCAATCCCTGGCACAAATCTTTCCCAGCCTTCGTGTGGTCACATTGATGACTGGGATGCGCGTGCTGAGCTTCAGAATGCCGTTTGCATGTGACATGGAATGCAAACGGCTGTCCCGGGATTGAGCCCTTCTGCCGGAATTAGACCTGTTTCCGGAGGTTGAACCCCATCTGCTGGGAATTGAGCCCTGCTGCTGGGGATTGAACCTGTCGCGGGCGGGGCCCCTGGCCCCAGGGCCCCAGAGGGTGTTCCGCGCCCGGGCTGGCGACACCGCAGCGTCGACGCGGCAGGGGCCTGCGGCAAGCAGGTGGAAATGCCAGGAAGGCGGACGGGGGGTCCCGAAGGAAACGGGCCCTGGGCCCTGAGGCTTTCCGCGATAACGGCTTCTGATAGCTCCCCATCGGTCGGAAGAAGTAACGGTGCTGCGAAGAAACATGAGGTAGGAAGGCGCTGCAAGTAGATGGGGTGTCCGTCCGCCCCCGAAGGAGGACGGAAAGGGTGAAGCTACTCGATCACTGAAGAAGGAAGGCGCTCAAAGTATATTGGAATCTGGGACTCCAAAAAATATATAATTTCAGCGAGCGATGGGTAAACGTTTTGCTCCGATGGCCCCAAAAGGCTCAGGGAGGGCCCCGGGAAGCCGAATGTTACGAAAATCCATCAGGACCCTCTGGACGCACGGAAGTCTCTGGATATCCCCAGAGGCCAACGGACAACCAAACAGAAAAAACTGCCAACATCCTCATGGGCACTGTCTACTCGAAGCCTCCCTCCTCCTCCGCCTCCTCCTCCTTCTGTGCGAGGCTGAGAAAGTATACAGATCCACCGGCTGGGGAACCGATGTCTGCTGACCCTAGGAGGCGGCGCCCAGGGCCCGAAAGTATCCATATCCACCGACTCCTGCGGTGTTGGGAGATCTGTTCCCATACCACCATCATACGGGGATACGAAATCTCTGAAGACGGGACAGGGTCGGCACATCACAGCCAGCTCAAAAGTTAAAAAAAAAACCCAAACAAAAAAATCACAGCGTCATCATTGTCAACTCTCTCTTTTGGCACCCATTACATGCGTAGCAGCATGCTCGCCGCAAGTCCCGTTTCAAAATGTGGCTCTCGCTTTAGCGCCATGCACGTTCGTCCAAGCACCTTTTCAAAGTGTGGCTCTCGCGTTGATGCCGCGCAGATTCCTCTGCAAAGTTTGCAACAGTGCCAAGTAATCGCACGGTTGAAGACCCAAGGATTGCGATCTGGCTCGATTGAGTACTGTTTGGACGCAACAAGTCACGTTGATTCACCGTGTTGGATTCCCGGGCGTGTTGTTCTGGAGCGGTTTGGGACTGTCAGGACGCAACAGTCATGTTGATTCGCGGCGTGAAGTCCAAAAAATTGTGCTTTGTCGTGATGGCCTTCCGAGGCGACGCTTCCCGCAAGGAAAGTGCACTCTTGTGGGGGCCTGTGGACAAGGAACTTGCGGGGAGGGCATCCTGCAACATCCTCGATGCGTCTTGGATTTGCACTGGTCCCCGCCACCCTCCCCCTCCCCCCCTCCTTCGTGGCGAGCGGCAGGGAGGGGGCACAGCCAAGAGGCCCAGCAGCGGGGCCCGTCCGCGGGCAGCGGGCGCGGGCGGGGCCACACACAGAAGCCGATGGCCATCTCGTTGCCCACCTTCGCTGCCGGGGGCGCGAGCTCCGAAGCTTCAAAAAAGGGAGATCGAGGTTTCGAAGGCTGCGAGGGAGGGCGGGAGGGAGGGGGAGCGGGGGGAGGGAGGAAAAGCAGGAGGACGAGGACAAGGGGAGGGACGGAGGCAGGGAGGGAGGGCAGGAAGGGCAGGAGGGAGGAGGAAGGGAGGAAGGAGAGAGGCGGGGGGAGGAGGGATGGAGGGAGGAGGAGGAGAGGAACATGAAGAGGATGAGGAGGATGAGGGGGGAAGGAGGATGAGGAAGTGCAGGAGGAGAAAGAGGAGAGGAGAGGAGGAGGAGGAGGACACGGATGAGGCGGCTGCAGACAAAGGCATGATGACAATTTGTATGTGTGTGCGTATGTGCCTGTGACCGGGTGAGTGGGAACTCCAATCATGGAGGTCGGGGTGGTCTTCCCTCCTTCGAACGAATGCTTGTGTCCCTCTTCCACTTCCGCCGCCTTCCGCCGAGCTTCCGCCAGCGGAGCCACGCCGCCGTTTTGGTTCTGCCAGCCTCAGCCGGCCGTCCGTCGGCTGCCGCTGAAGAATCATGCACCCGACAATGTTCCCTTTCACTCTGCGGCCCCAGGTACTGAGCCCTTCCCCGGAGGGCATTTCTGTTGCGCCGAACCTGTAGTTGATTGTCCCACGGCCTCAAAACTGACCCCAGAGGCCGAAACTTGCAAAACAATCAGCCTGGCAAAGAACCCGACCACATGCAGTTCGACGACATGCAGTTATGAGTACCTTCGTTGTGAGCATCTCCTTCGATGGATCTCCTTCTGGGATCACGAAGCGCGTGAAGGGTCGAAGCGCGTGAAGGGTGTGCCGAATGGGGGCGGGCTGGACGGGCCGCCATGCGGGCGCTGCCAACGGGGCCGTAGAGCTACATATAGGGCCAAGAAGTGTATGAGGGGCGTGCCGGAATGGGGCGGGGCCGCCATGCGGGCGCTGCCACTGGGGCCCCGTGCGCAGCCGTTTCGTGCTCATTTCCCACCCAGCTCTTTCACATCGTCATCATCACCATCATCGTCATGATGATGACGACGATGATGATGCTGCTGATGCTGATGCTGATGCTGATGCTGATGCTGATGATGATGATGATGATGATGATGATGATGATGACGATGACGATGACGATGATGATGATGATGACGATGGTGATGTTGACGAAACTGATGGTGACGATGCTGATGATGACGATGACGATGACGATAATGATGATGATGCTGATGATGATGCTGCTGTTGATGATGAGGATGCTGCTGATAATGAGGATGATGCTGATGCTGATGCTGATGCTGATGCTGATGCTGATGATGATGATGACGATGACGATGACGATGACGATGATGATGATGATGATGATGATGATGATGATGATGATGATGATGATGATGATGATGATGATGGGGATGCTGACGATACTGATGATGATGATGATGATGATGATGATGATGATGATGATGATGATGATGATGATGATGGTTGTGGTGGTGGTGGGGGGGGAGGAGGGAGGAGGGGGAGGAGGGGTGAGGAGGAACGCGGAGCGCTGTCTTCGAAACGAGGACCCAACACCACAGGCTGGTCGGGAAAGCAGGCGGCACACCACAGCGCCGCGACGGGCACAACCGGGCGCAGCGTCGGACCCCTGGGGACGCGACGCGCTGAAGGCGAGGCCCTCCACGGAGCGCCCCGCGTGCGGCCGACGGAGGCGTGGGCCCGATCAGTTCGCGTACTATGCTCAGAGGTCTGGGGGGGGGGGGGGTGCGAGGGTCCTGGGTCGTGGGGCTGGCATGCAGAGTTCCCTCTCTGAGGCGTGGCTTTTGCATGCTGAACGTGGCCCCCTGGGCTGGAGTCTGACTGGGGTGGGGAGGGAGTGGCAGGCAGAGCAATTGAGGATGAATCCCAGGGCCGGCCTCCACGACCTCCTCGCGCTGCGGGGCGAGGGGCGAGTTCGTGCGCAGGTCGGAGGTGGAGAAGAAGGCGCCTGGGGCGGCGCGCGCGTGGGGGCCTCCCGAGGCGGAGGCTGGAGCAGGCAGGTTTCGGTCAGGCATGTCCTCCTTCAGGCGGATGTTGGAGGAAACCTGAAACATAATCACAATGCTCCAGAATGGTCGAAAATAACAGAAGAATCGTCCCCTGACTATGTTTGGACTGTTCTTGAATATTCCTCCTGTAGAGGGACACTCATGACTTGAAGGCAGGGTCGGAGGATCGCGCCGCATCGCCGACGCATCGGAGATACGCCAGCGACGTCCAGGCGGAGCAGGGCGGGGGCGTCGGCGATGCGGCGCCACCCCTCCAGGCCTCGAGGGCATCAACGGTACACCTACACCGACCCTGGTCAGCCCATCCTGGGCCCAAGATCGGACTGACCAGATGTACGTCTGACGGCCTCTCACGGGCGCCTACGAGGAGGACGGCGACTCCGACGACGGCCACTCGGCCCAACGCCTGGACCACCATGTAGACGGAGGCTCTGTGGCTGTGTTCGGTCTCCCGGGGCCCTCGCTGGGACCCCAGGATGGTCAAACAGCGACTCGGCGGGATGAGAAACCAGCCCTGGGGAAATGGTTAGCCCTGGGGGAAGGGTTGGCACTTGCGGCTTGTCCGGGAAAGGGTTGGCAACTCCTTGCCCTCCTCCTCCTCTTCCTCATCCTCCTCCTGCTCCTGCTCCTCCTCCTCCTCCTCCTCCTCCTCCTCGGCCTCGCCCTCCTCCTCCTCCTCCTTCTCTTCCTCCTCCTCCTCCTCCTCCTCCTCCTCCTCCTCCTCCTCCTCCTCCTTCCCCTCCCCCATGGGATCTCTGGTGGACGACCCTTGCCTCCGACGTCGCGATATTGCCGTTTGCGGCGAAAGTTCCCAGGAGATCTCGACCGCTTCCCTGGAGCCGCCTTTTGTCTCCCCGAACCTTCCGATGATGCCCACTACGGACTCCATGATGCCCACAACGGCGGACAAATGGCCAGCACATGCTTGCCCAAACGTCCGACGTGCAGATTTGTTTGAATCGGAGCGCCCAGGAGTCTCGATCCCTTCCCCAAGGCCGGCTTTTCATCCCAACTACTTGGGTGACGGTGCTGAGTATCGAGAACTCCCCCGGACGACGGAAGCGGTGAAACATGTCCGTCTCGATTGTTGATATGTCGGATGGCACGGTTTGCGGCGCGCAGCAGCGTCGGCGGCGATGGGCCATTTCGCGTGCAGGCCTGGGGGTTGGAGGAAATGGCGCCTGGCGCGGACGACGTTGGGGGCCTGGGCAGGGACAGGCGCACAGTCGACCCGTATCACAAGGATGCGCGATAAGGATGCAAGGGCCTTGGAAAATCTTTCCGAAACTTCGAAACTTCTAGAACGGGGCGCGGCCAACGAAAGTGGCCAAGGATGGACCGGGGAGGCAAGAATGCAAGGCTAGGGTAGCATTGGGAAGGTTGCCCGTCCATACTATGCGGGTTGACGGTAGTGAGGGAGGGCAACGGGGGGGATACCGAGAAGCAAAGTGACCGTGAACAGCTGTACCCATATACGCCGACTGTTTTCTCACAGGAGTGCAGTCCGAGCACGCGTGGATTTTGCAATGGCCTGCGGCCGCCGCAGGCGACGGCCTCGCCGGCCAATGTATGTGTCTGCCCGCGCTTCTCCTGCCTGCCCTGGGAGTCCCCTCGGGTGGACGAGCGCGTTCCACTAGTCGCAACGCAACTACTTGCACATGACCTGGATCTGCCGCGGGGTATCTGCGACAAATGACATCGAAGCGGACAGGTGTGTATTCGGACGTTTGCGAGTAGGCACTTTGCGAGTAGCAGAACGCGTTCGGTGATCCGGGGGACTGGTCTCTTTGGGGGAGCCTCCAGGGCCAGAGGACAAAAAGGGGGAGGGAGGGAGGACGATCGTCGAGAACTCGGCAGAACCCCCACCACCAGAACGGCCAGTGGGCCGTCTATACCGCCCGTCACTGCTCCTCCTCCTCCTCCTCGCACCAGAAGCGAGTTCGCGCACCTGTCGGACGTGGAGATGGCCTCCCCCATCCAGGAGCGGAGATCACCGAAATTTTCTGACATCTGGCCATTTCTGGATCTCGGAGGGTTTCGGAAGGCCTCCTGGGCCTCCGAAAAAGATCTCTCCTCAGAAGGCCCGAAGCCCACTTTGGTAGAGATTCATCGCAGGCGTTGCTGTGTCTTGACGTCGGCATCCTGGGGGGGCCGTTCTCAGGCGCTGGTGCTGTCAAACATATTGCATGGTGCAGAAGGCTTGCCCTGGGGGAGGGGCCGAAGAGGCCTGGAGCCACTTGCTGAAAACGAGTCGGAGGTATGTGAAGAAGGATGGGGAAGGGGAGGACGATCCCCCAGGACGCCCTAGAGCCCCTATAACCTCAAACCTATACGTAAGCGAGGGCGCCCTTTGGCCGTACCGAATCGGGAAATGAGCCCGATTTCATCCACATAGTAGAATCTGCAAGGGCTTCTCGCTGCTCCTCGCTGCCTCTTCTCCCTCCTCGGCTCCTCGCTGCCCGTTTTTGCCCCTTGCCTGGCCCGTGTTTCTTTGTCGGCCCGCCCCGGTGTCCGAATAAGAGCCGTGGCGCCCCGCACTGCCGCGTTGGCGGTAGTTATTTGTCAGCTAATGGTCTTGCAGTTTTGCGTCCAGACGGCAGACAAGCTTTCTAACAATCAGCCCATTCCCATAGTGGGGGGAGGCCTGGCGTGCGTCTGAAAGAGATGATGATGGAATGGGGTCGGCTATCTGCTGTGTGCCTCATTGTCCACTACCTGACCTACGAACGCGCAACCAACAGAAGAAATGGCTGCGTCTCCTACTCCACCGGAAGGGTGCCTAAGAATACGAGGTGCGGGTACCACGCACCAGACAGGAGGCAGACTGAAGTGGCGACGACAACAAGAAAGAGAGCGAGGGGTGCGGCCGTCGTAGCTGTCTGCCGTATGCGTCGCAGTGCCGGGCGAAGTGAAATGCCTCGCTCGTCATGCATGAGTCCAGTCGCAGACCTGGAAAGTACACTTGACGCGCAACAGCCTTCCTTGGAAGCCCGCAGAAGCCTGCCATCGCGCAGGTTGCTGAGCGCACCTGAGCCACAAACCGACCAGCGGGCTAACGAGCATGCACGCCCCTCTCTAGCGTGGACTTTCCTCCTCGTCCCCCCTCCCGCCCGTTCCCCCCCTCTCAGCCTGCGAGCGGGCCCACAGCCAGCAGGAAGGACTGGACTGCCGCTGGCGCGCGGAGAAGCTCGTCAGCATCCACTCGGGCATCGCGGTGACCCTAAAGGGGCCCTGGGACACACAAAGAAATAAACACAAATCCCAGGATTCCCCATATATGCCTATATTTTCTGGGTTTTCGTCTTCCCCCCCACACTTCCCATATGCTCCACTATTTTCTTGGGAGTCGACGATTCAGTGTGTCTGTGTGGTTTTTCCCCGTCTGAGATCCCTGGGGTCCCTGGTGGGCCTGCGCAGCAGGCTGAAGCTGCTGCTCCTGGGGACGACACCGTCGACGGGGGGCGGACGGGATGCGGAAGCGAAGGGCGACCGACGCAAGGCCGCCTGGCTGCCTGAGGCGCGCTTGCGCGAGCTTGACGCGAACCTGTCGGGAGTCTTCTCGTTCGCGGAGTGCTGCTGCATGTCTCCTTCATTGCTCTACCACCCGACCCATCAACGCGCAACCGGCGGAGGATATTATATTCCTGCGTTCCCTAACGGAAGGCTGCCTGGAAAGATGAGGTGCGGATGTCACGCACCAGACAGTCGGTACCAAGACGACGGCGACGACGACGAGAAAGAGTGCGGCCGTCATAGCTGTCTGCCGTGTGCCTCGCCTCGTCGGGCGAAAAGAAATCCCACACACACACTTCATGCGAGAGTCCAGTCGCAAAAACCGGAAAGCACACTGGACAAGCAGCAGCACTGCTTGGAAGGCATCGCGGCTGCGCACGCTCTGCTCCGCGCCTATCATTGCGCGCACCCGAACCACAGAGCGACCGCAGGGATACCACGCAGGCGTATCCCCCGAGTGTGCATCAGCCTCCTTGGCCCCCCGCCCGCTCGCCCATCCCCCCATCCAGCTCCTTCCCCCCTCTCAGCCTGCGAACGGGCCCCCGGCCAGCAGGAACGACTGGACTGCCGCAGGGGCGCCGCTAGACCCCTCGCCGGGCTCCCAATCCTCGAAGTGGTTGAGGAGCTCCTCGGCGTCCACCCGGGCATCCCTAGGGAAGCGAGGAATGACGTAAACATAACAACTCGGAGGTCCGCGCAGATTTCGCGGAGCCGCGCTGGCAGGGGCGGCGCCGGAGGCGCCGCCGGGGGGCCCCAGCGCCGATCCGAGAAATCCGCGCGGACCTCCAAATGTTTTTCTCGTTTCTGCCAGCTCTCCGTCCCCCTACTTCCAATCCCCGTGCCTGGGCTCCCGGGCGGGCCTGCGCAGCAGGCTGAAGCTGCTCGGGACGAACACCGAGCACCGGCGGGGCGGCCGGGACGCGGACGCGCGGGCGAGCGAGGCGCGGCCGCCCGAGGCGTGCGCGCGCAGGCTCGGCGCCCGCCTGCCGGGAGCCTCTCGGTTTGCGGGGTGCTGCTGCAGCGCCAGCCCGGGGCTCTCGCGCAGCTCCCGGGCGGTGGCCCGGATGAGCTCCAGGGCCTCCTCACAGAGGGCAGCAACATCTTCCCCCCCAGAGCAACCACCTTGACATGCGAAGCCGTTTGTAGGAAACGCAGCCAAAGCAGGGATCGAGCAGGGCAGGACTGTCTAGTCAACGCCCCAGGCCGTTTGGCAAACGCCAACGAGCGGGTCCGGGTGGTTTTTCTTCCCTCGACTCCTGCTCTCCGAAGGCGACGTAGTCTGCCAGAGTGCTCCTCTCGCGCACGTACCCGCACCTCTCCATCTCCAGCTCCTGCATGGACTTGGTCGTGGCGGGCTTCTTCCCTGGCGTGCTGACGCTGCAAACCTCGAGCCAACTTTGCAGATTGGCCTGGCTGGCGCTCACGGCCTCGATCAGCATGTTCCACCGCTGCTGGCTCGCGACCATCTCACGCACGCGTGATATGTACCAGCGCCCCAGGGCTGTCTTCCGATGCGCCGCGGGTATCCTGAAGGCCTTCCAGTCCTCCTGCTGGGCCACGATGCTCTCCACATCTTCAATCCACGAGCGCTGGTTGCCTGCCTGTCCGCCGCGCGAGGCCGCGAAAGCCCCCGCCTTGTTGGTGATCGTGCTCGCCTGCGCCTGCTGGGCCCGCAGCTGGTAGCAGAGACCCACCGTCTTCTCCAAGTACTCGTCCTCGAACTTCTCCCACACGCCCGTGGCGCGATCGCACCACACCTCGGCTGCACGCAAGCGTGACCCCAGGCCCTGGGCAAGAATGACCTTTGGTGCCCGACCTTCGGGGGGCGCGGCGAGGCCAAACCCGAGCGCGCAAGTCGCTGCTGTCGCATCGCTGTCAGTCATCCGGGGACCCCGGTGTGCCCGCTCCAACGGTCACCCTGGCGAACGGTCACTCTTGCGTGTAGCCAAACACCGCCCGCCGCGTCAGGAACCGGCGCGTGTGGACTTGCAGCCTCCGCAGGCGCCCCATGAGCATCCGGATGCTCAGGGACAGGCCGCCCATCTCGGCCACGTGCCTGCAGAAGTGCGCCACGATGTCCGCCGCTCGGCGCCGCTCCCTGACCCCGTTGATGAGGGACGCCAGGAAGAGGACCCCGCGGGCTGCCAGCCCGAGCCTGCAAGAAGAAGCAACGGCACAAGCACGAAATTCCGTGGCACTGCGCGAATTCCTTGGATCGGCGCTGGATCCCCCCCTCCCTGCCACGCGAAGCGCGACAGAGCGTTTCCGCGCCGACTCAACAAAATCCGCGCGGACCGCCGCACACATTCATGATCATCTCGGACTTCTCTTCCCCCAGAGCCTGCCCAGCCGGCCCGGGTTCTTGTGCGCCCTGCGAGTCTCGAGGCGGCCGACAGCACTCATCCTGCGTCCTCCGAGTCTAGAGGCGCCGCCGGCGCCCGACATCGAGGAGCGGCGCGAGTTGCCCACCACGCTGGCAACCGAGCCACGGCGCGTGGCGGCGCCAGGAAGCCCAGCGAACGAGCTGCGGCGCGAGGCGCGCATCGTCGAGGTGATGTCCGGATGGAGGAGCTCCGCCGACACCGAGCCACGGCGCGTGGCAGCACCGGGAAGCCCACCGAACGAGCTGCGGCGCGACGCGCGCATACCCGAGGTGATGTCCGGATGGAGGAGATCCGTCGCCACGAGCGTGACGACGGACGTGGACCTGGACCTGGATCGGTGTGCGGACTTCGCGACGTCGGGGGCATCCGGGCGCGAGTGGCCTGGCCCGGTGCCCTGGGCGTGCCGGTCGCCAAAGCACTCTGTCGGAGACGGCCCTGTGAGCAGCGTCGGCAGCTGGCGGCCCTGCTCGGCGGTGCTCAGAACCGCGCGCTCTGGCGCCCGGCGTGCGCCCTCCTTGGCCAGGGCCTCCCAGCGCCTCTCCTGCGAGCGCCTCGTCAGCATCCTCTTCACCTGGCTGCCCGTGGAGCCCATGCCGAGGAGCAGGCAGCGGCCCTTGAGAGCTGGCACGTCTACCAATTCGATGTGCTCGGCGCAGCCTCCTGGCGCGCCGGCGCTGCGGAAGCCCTGCATCGGAATCTTCAAGCCCGACATCTCGAGAACCCAGCCCTTCTCGGTCAGCTCCTGCAGCCGGGCGTCCACGCGCTTCTTGGGCGTCATGGCGTGCCGCTGCTTCTCCTTCAGCTGCTTCATCCGCTCGTCCTGCTGGCGCTTCTTCTCGGCCTCGGCCTCCTGGCGCCTCCGCTCGACATCCTGGGGCGACGAGGCCTACACATATCCACGCCGCCGGCCAGGCCCATCCTGGGCCCAGGAGCGGTGCATACCCCGCCCCTGGCTTGGCCAGTGAGGCACACACAACGCTCCTGGGCCCAGAATCGGCCTTGCCATTGGCGGGGTAGAATTATATATAAAGACATAGGTGCATCTCTCCCTCCATATACCTATACGACCACCCTTCGGGTGATAAGGAGGTTCGGGGGGGAACCAACGTCTCACTCGATCGGTCTCACTATCGATCTCAGTATCGATCTCACTATCGGTCTCGCTCGATCGATCTCACTCGATCGATATCACAATCGATCTCACTCGATCTATCTCATTCGATCGATCTCACAATTGACCTCACAATCGATCTCACAATCGATCACACAATCGATCTCACATTCGGTTTCAATATCGATCTCACAATCGATATCACAATCGCCCTCACAATCAACGTCATCATCATCACCATCATCAACAACATCATCAACATCAACATCACCACCAATATCGTCATCATCATGAGGGCACCGTCATCATCATCATCATCATCATCATCACCATCATCATCATCATATACATCATCATTAACGTCAGCATCATCATCGGGACAACATCATCATCATCATCACCATCATCATCTCATCATCAACATCATCATCATTATCATCGGGACACAGTCATCGTCACCATCATCAGCAGCATCATCAAAATCATCATCATAATCGGGACACCATCATGATCACCATCGTTCTCATCATCAACATTATCATCAACATCGTCATCATCCTCGGGACACCATCATCATCCTGATCATCGCATCATCATCATCATCATCGACATCCTCATCATCAACAACATCATCATCATCGTTGGGGCACCATCATCATCATGAGCAACATCATCATCAACATCGTCATTATCATTATTCTCACCATCGGGACACCATCAACATCACCATCATCATCATCATCAACATCATCATCAGCATCATCATCGAAACACCATAATTATCATCACCATCATCATCATCAACATCATTATCGCCAGGACACCATTTCCATCAGCATCATCATCACCAACATCATCGGAATCATCATCATCATCATCGGGACACCATCATCGTCATCATCATCAACATAATCATCATGATCATCATCATCATCCTCATCATCGGGACACTATCATCATCATCGACACCATCATCAACATCATCATCTTCACCGGGACACCATCATCATCATCTCATCATCATCATCATCATCATCATCATCATCATCATCATCATCATCATCATCATCATCATCATCATCATCATCATCATCATCATCATCATCCTCCTCGCGGGACACCGCGGGACACCGCGGGGGCGGGACACCGGCCGCCCGGAAGGGAGTCATTTGGTCCGGCCGCGCCTCAGCCACACGGGACACCAGCGGGACACCGGCGGGACACCGCGGGCCACCGGCCGCCCGGAAGGGAGTCATTTGGTCCGGCCGCGCCTCAGCCACAGGAGACTTTTTCTCGCCCGCCCACGCAGCTTCGCCTCGCCCGCACGGCACGCACGAACACGAAACCGAAACCGATTTCCCGGTAGGGGGGCTCTCCGTCCCACTTCGATCTCACCCCCTTCACCTCCGACCAATACATTCCTATATGTGTGGTTGTGGATATACATGTACACATACAAATACATATACACATGTCACATGCATACACATGCATACACATGTACATAAACACAAACGCATACATACACAGATGCGTGACCAGAGACATTTACATGTACAAAAACACAAACACATACATGTACAGTTGCATCGGAAGTTGGGGGGTGAGATCGAAGTGGAACGGAGAACCCCGTACCGGGAAATCGATTTCGGTTTCGTGTTCGTGCGTGCCGTGCGTGCGGGCGAGGCGAAGCTGCGTGGGCGGGCGAGAGAAAGTCTCCTGTGGCTGAGGCGCGGCTGGACCACATGATTGCCGTCCAGGCGTCTGGGGGCCCGCGGTGTCCCGCCCGGTGTCCCGCTAGGGCCCCGTGTGGCTGAGGCGCGGCCGGACCAAATGATTGCCGTCCAGGCGTCTGGGGGCCCGCGGTGTCCCGCCGGTGTCCCGCCCGTGTCCCGTCGGTGTCCCGTCGGTGTCCCGATGATGATGATAATGTTGATGATGATGATGATGGTGATGGTGATGGTGATGATGATGCTGAAGATGATGATGATGATGGTGATGCTGATGCTGATGGTGATGGTGATGGTGGTGTTGATGATGCTGTTGATGATGATGTTGATGCTGTTGTTGGTGATGATGGTGATGATGATGATGATGACGACCCGTGTTGTTGATCATGGTGATGATGGTGATCGATCGGGAGAGATCGATTGTGAAATCGATGGTGGGGTCCATTGTGAGATCGATTGAGTGAGACGTTGGGTCCGCCCCCCCGTCAACTGTCTTACCATTCAGGGATTTCGGCTCAAGGCTTCTGTTGCACTCGGCACGCGGGGGGCCGGAAACGCGCCCACTTCGGTCACGTACTTCCTTCGGCTTCGCTACGAGGGGCCAGGCTTTACCAGCCGAAATGCTCGACAAGAATGTGGAGACGCTGAAGAACATGAACATTGGCATCGTCACAACAACAATCACACAACACTCTCCATTGGCATCGTCACAACAACAATCACAACTGTTGCCCATTGCTGGGACCCCCCCCCAACCTCCTTATCACCCTCAGGGTGGTCGTATAGGTAAACATTTACACATGTGTACACATGCATAAATATACATATATGTACACGTACATGCTCACAAACGTAACTATATACATTTACATGTACTTCTGCATGTACCTATACACAAACACATGGGTGCGCATACACACATCTATCTATCTATATCTATATATAGAGAGAGGGACCGAGAGAGGGGTCTCGTCGCCCAATCACCTCCTCGACTCCCACGTGCTCCATCATCAGGCGGCGTCGCAACTCCACGGCCTGCGCCTCAAAGCTCCTGAGATCCTCCTCGAAGGACGGCCCCAGAGCAGGGTGCTCCGGCAGGCCCGCAGCGCTCTGCCCCTGCGAGGGCGCCACGTCGTCGGGTCCCCGCTGCAGCGCTGCAGGGTGCCGCATCACCGCCTCGATTTAGGTTGATCCCATCGTACTTAAGGACCACACTCCAGAAACAATTTCGAGCACCCCGAAAAGTATCGAAACAGTGTCTGCCCGACACGCTGGCGAAGTGCCGAACGAGTGTCGCCTCCCAGGGCCCGACACGTGGAAACCGTCCAGCTTCGATACTTTATTGTTGGTGCTCGAAGCTCTTCCTGGCCGTCAAGGCTGGAGTAGGTTCGAACATCGTAAGCCTCGATCTGCATGGAGCGCTGCTGCGACAGCAGGTTGGCCTGGCACGTGGCGGAGGCGGGCGAGCTCAGGAGCGGACCGCCGCCGCCCAGCGCGAGCGGGCCGCCAGAGGCCGCCGCCGGGGTGCCCCGCGGCCCGGAGGAGGCGGGGCAGGACAGGGCGCTCGGGTCGACGCCGGCGTGGTCCCACGCGGTGAGGGCCGCGGGGGAGAGGAAGTCCAGGGAGACCTGCCGAGGGGGAACGATCGGCTGACTCTCAGGGGACGAAGCACCGACCTGGGATCGCCGCTGCATCGCCGACAGGCTCGCACCCCGCGCGTTCCTGGGCGGGGTGGGGCGCCAGGCCCCGAGTGGCGACGCATGGGCGATGGTGAGGTCGATGCTGCCCCCCGTGGGCCCGTGCCCCCCCTGCCGGGGCCCTCGACCTCCTGCTGCGGCGCGGTCGAGGCCCTGGCGAGCCTGGAAGGCTCGGCTCGGCTCAGAGGCCTGCTGCGGACCAGCTCGGCCGCCAGCCTGAGAGACTGCGACTCCGCGGGCGCAGAGCACACGCGCTGCACGCGCCTCAGCTCGGCGCCGCTGCCAGGAGGCGGCAAGAGACCCTGAGCCCGCTCGGCCGCCAGCCGAAAGGCCTGCGCCTGGAGGGCGAGAAAACGGGTGCCATGCCCGAGGCTGGACGCGGGAACGTCGTGACGATCTTGGTCAGCGACGATCTTGGCCAGCGCCAACTTCTGGATCATCCTCGCGAATCGGCGGCGGCCGAAAGGGACCATGACCAAGATCTGCATTTTCACCTTGTCGGGATCCTCTTGGGGGCCTCTTGGGGCATCTTGGGGGCCTCTGGGGCCGTCTTGAAGCTATCTTGAAGGCTCTTTGAGCGCTCTTGGGTCATCTTGAGGCTGTCCAGGGCCTGTCGAAGCGCGCCCGAGGCCGCTTTACAAGATCCCGCGACGTCTTGGTCATGGTCCCTGTGCTGCTTTCCTCGGTGCGCCTCCGCAGGCGCCGCGACGCCCGAGGCGCCGTCCGAGGCACCGGTGCCCGGGCGCGGCGGCAGCGCCCGAGCCCTGGGCGCCTCCGGGGGCTGCGGGGCCGTGCCGGGCCGCTGCTCGCCTTCGGGGCTGCGCCGCTCGCCGGCGGGGCCGCGCCGCGGCGCTGGCCGCGCACCGCGGGGGGCGGTGGCCGCGCGCCGCTCGGCCAGCGTGGGGCAGCTGGCGCTCCTGACCGCGAGCGCCATGTGCCGAGGCCCCGCGGGCGCGGGCGGCACGGGGGCCTCCGCGGCGCGTGGCAAAGTAGCTCGGCCCGCGCCGGACAAGGGCGACGGTCGGGCGCGGCTTCCATGCGGGGGCGACAAATCCAGGGCGGGGGGGTGGAACGTGCACCTCTCGTGCCCCTTTTGGGCCCCAGGGGGCCCCTTTAGAAGCCCTGCGCGGGCCCTTTAGGGCACAACATCAAAGGTGCACCTGTCTTCACCCCTCCAATCATCGCCCCCTCCCCCCCGCAGTGCCACGCAACGCCCGCCCCCGAGACCGACGGAAGCGCTGGCCAGTGGACGAGCCCCGGTCCAGAGACCAGAGGAGTCGCGGGGGGGGGGGGGGGAGCGCGCCTGCCGACGCCCCGCCTCGCGCCTCGCGCCGCGGGGGCCCTCGCGACTCTCGGCCCCGGGGGCGGCGGGGACGCGCCTGCTGACGGAGGCGCCGGCCCGTGGACGCGCCCCGGTCGAGAGGCCAGGGGAGTCGCGGGGAGCGCCGCGCCTCGCGGCTCCCCGCGTCGCGCCGCGGGGGCACTCGCGACACGGCCCGGGGCGGGGGACTTCGCGCACGGACCCCTGTGGACTCCGAGCTGATTCCCACATATTCGATTCCCGTTCCAGCGCAATTCTGGGGAGAAGGGGAGGGCATTGAAGGAGGGGACGATCGCGCCGGGCCGACACGCACACGTTTGCCCTCAGCTCGGTCCGTGAGGCTGCCTCCCCGGGTCAGCTGGCAAGGGTGACATGTGCTGCGCGGCTTGCCGATCGCTGCGTGCGACAGGACAGCAGCGGCCCGCGTGCTCGGGGTTGACCCCCCGGCCCGCGCCCCCCGGAAGCCACCCACCGAGCGTCACTCCGGCGAAGGGTCACTTCTGCGCGTAGCGGAAGCATCCTGCAGCTCGGACAAGCCTGGACGGCCAAATTCTGGCATTTCTTCACGTCAAGGGGCCTATGTTAGGCCCTAGGGCCGCCAAGAAACGACCAAAGGATGAAACGCTGGCACAGGGGAAGGGGTCGAGAGGTGGTCCAGGGGTCTACGCCTCGAATCATCAAACGAAGCTGCGGGATGCCTTAGTTCGGCATCTGAGCCAACTCGGCGGCCGAACCGATGATCCTCAAAACGTGTGCCAGCGCCAACGTGCGCTTGTCCACCAAAGTTCTTCAGTACGACGTAAGCGTTGTGATAAGGGCCGCCGTCACAAGTTGCGTGCTGCCGGCGGAGCTGCACGGGAGCAAGCAATATGCTAACACACGGTCTGAGGATCATCCACCGTCGGCCTGACGGCTACACGTAAGTGGGACCCTGGGCAAGAGTGACCTCTGGTGCGCGGCTTTACGGGGCAGCGGGGGGGGAGGCCAATCCAAGCGTGCGGGCCAGTGCTGGGGGGACCCCTCGGGCGGGTGGTCATGGGTTACCTAAATGGGTGGTGAAGAAATGGGCCCTGAAGGGGCCCATCAGGGCCCCTTTTGGAGTCAGCTGGTGCCCAAACTGGGCCCTGAAAGGCCCCTTTTGAACCTTTTTCTTCACCCCCCATTCTGGACACTCTTCATTACCACCCGCCCGAACCCCTGTGAGTCCGCACTAAAGGTCACTCAATCGAAACGTTTTACTCTTACGCGGAGCCGAGGCCTGGGCTGGGACGATTCGGTGGCAACTCATGGGACCCTCCCATCCATCCTGTTGGCCCCTGCGAATCGACGCTAATCGACGCTAGTCGACGCCAACCGACGCAAAATCGATGCCACTCGGTGTGCTAGCCGACGCTAAACTGGCGCTGTCTCATAGACTCCCAGACACTAATCGACGCCAGTCGAAAGACGGAATAAACAGGGTATACAATGGGGGCCGATCCACAAGAAACCTTCCACAAGAAACCCAACCCTGAGACCCCAGGACGTCCGTTGATTTTTGGTGTGGGGACGTCACGCCTTCCATCGCTAAACCATCGGAACGCAAGAAACCTATGGCACCCTGGAGGCAACCAGGGTGCTTCCTGGCATGGGTCTCCACTCTACGAGGCTGCCGTGCTCTGCTACCGAAGGAGGCGGTGACCGAGCCATTCCTGGGCGGGCCGCGCCCGCGAGCGGTCACGGAGCAGCGCGAGGCGACACGAGCGCGGGCCGGCACAGCGCGGCAGCTCCGTAAGACAACAGCGCGAACGCCTTGCAAAACGGCGGGGCCCCGGGGCCGACCCGCCCGGGCCGGAGAAGCCTTACACGCCGTGGCCAGGCAGGGCGGGGCAGGTCCGCTCCAGCGCAGCACTCGCGCCCCTCGGGGAGCGAGAGAGCGGCATCACCATCGAATTTTTGTCTCCGTCGGCGGCGAGGCAGAGGTAATCCGCTCCAGCGTGTGGCTAGTCGGGGCAACCGAAAGGCGAATGGTCCAGCGTGCAGGAGGGAGGGAGAAGACGAGGGCGGCCGCGCGGGGGGAGGGGGAGGGGAAAACGCTCAGACGTGGAAGAGTTCCGCAGTAATCATCATAAAC